CACTCTCTTGAGAAGCCAGGTCTCGATCAGGGGATCCTCTAGACCCTGTTCAATGTGTGCATTCCGTACAGCTTGCAAATAAACAGATATCGTGCCAGGGCGGACAGAGCGAGCAAGAAAAGCGCAAAAGCAGCTGAGGGTAAGATCAGAAGCTGGGTTAGGTTGCAGATTGCAAAGGGAGCAGAAACTGACAAAACGACGCTCACCGGCAGAGTAGGTGCGTCTGGTATTAGCAGCAATTGCACAGGCAGCGTACTTAGTGACTTCGCTCACAAGACTGCTGGAAGACGAGCACGGTCTGGACTCGGCCGGGCTAACGGAGCATGACGTCAAAATTCCTGCATAAGAAAACGAGAGAGGCAATCTGCAATGACATTCTTGGAGCCAGCAATGTGCACAGCGCTAACATGAAAGTTGAACTCATAGCAAACGAAGAACAGTTCGCGTAGCAACTTCATCACAGCTGGGACTTTGCACGTGCCCGAACGGATGCAGTCTACTATTGCCGAGTTGTCGCAGTGTACCTGAATCCGGAGCTTAGCCCATTCGTCGCCCCATGTGGCGCAGGCTGCTACGAGGGCAAACAGCTCCTTCCACTCGATAGACTGCAGCATCTGGGCACTGTTCCATTAACCTTGAATCCACTTTCCGTTGTTGTAAGCACCCCAGCCATGAGTGCCACTTGCATCTGTATATAGCTGGAGATCTGGTGATGGGGTCCAGTTAGGGTGCAAGAAGAAGAACTTCCCGTTCCACTCACTAAGTGGCCTCATCCACCATAGCAGGTCATCCACGCATTCTTGGGTCAAAGTTATTGAGTAGTGTGGTTGCTGAAACCGTGAGCAGACGGACCACAGACGACGCATGAAGGTACGGCCTGGAGTGATGACACGGGCAGCAAACGAGAGCTTACCCAATAGGGACTCGAGTTGGCGTTGGGATATCTTCCGGCTGTTGATCGTGCTGGCCAATAGCGATCGGAGGTCGGTGAGCTTGTCCATGGGAAGCCTGGCCTCGAGCCGCTCGCAGTCCAGAATAATGCCGAGGAACGTCAGTGATCTCGCGGGACCTTCCACCTTTGCTGGTGCTAGCGGCACGCCCAAATAGATGAAGGCCCGAAGCAGGATTGCTAGTTGACGCTGGGCGACAGTATGGCCAGTTGTGACGTTTAGGAAGTCGTCCAAGTAGTGGAATAGGTCGGCAATGGAGAAATGGTTCCGGATAATCCACTCTATGGCCAATGCAACGGAATCGAAAATGGCTGGGCTGGAGCGAAGCCCAAACAGTAGCACCCGCTCGTAATAGTAGCTGCCTTGCCAGAATATGCCGAGTAGTGAGTTGTCTTCAGCACGAACTGGGATTTGCCGGAATGCACTTTTGATGTCCAGCTTTGCGAGGTACACCGGCTGAGGTGAGGACATAATAGACTTGATTGCATCGTCAATACTGATGTAGTGCAGGGAAAACTGGTCAGCTGGAACTCCGTCGTTCACACTATTACCGGCGGGGCTAGAGAGATGGTGAATCATACGAAGCTTGCCGTTCTTCTTCGGTACCGCGCCGACACCAAAACAGCGCATGAAGGTGAACGGGGCTGCACTAAAAGGACCAGCGGTTTCGCCACGCTGGCAAGAAGCATAAAGCTCGCAATATCCTATCCTGCGCCGACTTTGGGACGTGCAGATTTCCAGCATGAGGCGGTGTGGAGCATGCAGCACCCACGCCAATGTCGGATGACGCAGCTGGTGGCGCTGGTGCCGCACTTGGCTGCGACAGAAGAGAGGCTCCAATCTCGTCTGTGACGGCAGAACGAACTTCAGCCCGAATAAGTTCGCGAATACCAGTCGGATCCAAGGTGACCGGGGGATCGGCGAGCACCTCGCATGTATCCACAGTGGGTTCGGCAGAGTCGGTTGCTGAAGGTTGAGTTGGACCCAGGTTTTCTCGCTCCATGTCGTCCAGCAATCTCTGAACCAGAATGGATTTCTTTCCGGCGGTAAGCAGACCTCGATCGTCCAGCTCGGCTCGCAGTTCTGCCACCCGCATCCGATGCACAATAGACGACATTGTTTCAGGCACCAACAGTACGAGCTGAACACAATCGAAGCGTCTGGCTAATTAGTTACTCAAAGCTACCACAAGCTAGAAGCCAAACTGAGAGAGCTGGAAATTTGATGCTGGCACAAGCTAAAAGTCACCACTAATTAGACTAGTCTTTGAAGTGAAGCCAACAGCAAGAAAGAAAGAGAAAGTTCAAAGGAAGGAGTTGTACAACGTCGGGCTAAGCGTGCTCGAATCCATGCGCTGGCAGTGTGAGTGACTGAGCAAAAGTTCAAAGGAAGCAGTTGTGTGACGTCAGGCTAAGCGTGCCCAAATCTATGCGCTGGCAGTGTGAGTGCAGTGCGCAATGCACTGATGCAGCGGTGCGCGGCAGATGCAAACATGGCAGTGTGATCGGTGGATGCTAACACACACTAACTACATTACTGCGACATTATACGAAACGAATGCATACGTGGACGGGTGCACGCACGTTTACATACACGTAGTAGTGTAAGACTAAGAGAGTAACATAGTGCAGTAGTCAGCATACTACTAGCACATGCTGAGAGTGCAATAGCAAGCTTCACCATTGCTCATGGCCATGCAAATGTTTAGCAGCACTCAGTTCCGCAAGCTTCTGAAGATCAGCACACCTGCAACAAATAGATAACACAAGGATACGCTTATTACCGTAATGATGCATGGGAGCACACAACTACCAAGTATTAGTTCTCAACGAATGTGATGCTCAATGAAAATCCATCCACTCAAAGACCTGTGAACAGGTGACGGTGGGGACAATAATCTATTAGTAGTACGAGGAATAAGATCGTTTGTGCACACTCAAGACGCACAGACACACCACCATACATGTAGTGTACACAGTGTTTCACTTCACTGCAACTAAATTGAAATTCGATGATTTGAACAATCTGTACAGCGTTGCCGTCAGTCAATCTTCCCCAAGATGGAAATGCACTGATTTGTTGTCACGAGGCAGTTTCACTGACACAATGTCATGTTTGTGACATCAAAACGGTTACTTCATGGAATACGAGTACATGTATTAGCTTGAGAAGCTTTTTCTTGTCATCGGCATACAAGAAATCTTCCTACTACTACTACTAGTACACTGGCACTGCGTTTGTGGATCCCATTGTATTTGACATCATACTAGAGCCTAGTAGAGGACGAGTGTCGTGGAGTTCACATAATTATCACAGGGATAAAAATACATTTCTCATGAAATAAAATAATAATTGATGATAGCTAGACGATCGTATACAATTGATGCAAAGTCCTTGCAGTCCTTGAGGACTATTACGAAGTGGTTGATTACTTTTAGGGCATTCATTCAAGCAACATCAAACAAACGCGATACGATCCTTGAAAATGGAAAAAAAGTCAAGCATAACGACAGAACAGCAGACCAATCGAAACGAGCAAAAGCTTCCTTACCTCAGTCATCGTCCTGCCATGTAGTTGGACAGCCTTTTGACACGGTGGTACAGGCAGCTCTTGTCCAGTCAAACAGGGTATCCTTGTGGCGTCGAACGAAAGAGAGTGTCAGTGTATCTGACTCGTCAGATTGGAACTGTGCTGAACTTTTCTCGTTCTCCGCTTTCTGCTTTCATCCCTCGCTCTGATGAAACCGTTCAAACGCCTTACTGGCAGCAATGGCCAGCCAAACAGGGGATCCTTGTGGTGTCGAACGAAAGAGAGTGTCAGTGTACCTGATTCATCAGATTTGAACTGTGCTGAACTTTTCTCGTTCTGCAATTTCTGCTTTCATCCCGCGCACTGATGAAACGTCTTCAGAGAACCACAAGACGCTTTCCAGATTTGATTTTGAACGTCTCCTTATCCTCCTTGGTTACCTCGAGACAGATTACTGTCAGCAACTGCACAGCAGAACTGGCAGCCATGGCTGAAGTGAAGAAAGGAATGCGCTGCCACGAGGCAAGCAAAACTGAAAAGTTGTTTGTTCTTTTTCGGGCACAACACACAGGATCTAGGACGTCGAGGACGGCGTGACTGGATAAACTGGACTCCTGGACCGTGAATAGGGAGGGGACTTGTAGAAAAAGTGTACTCCTTATAGGGGATTGCGCGGCAGGATGAAGCTGATCAAAACTGAGTGGATTCCTGGACTCTGTATAGTGGATTTTGGACCAATGGACTCTATATAGGGTGCTGGACATCATATAGTGCATGGACTCTATACTGAGTCCTACATGTATGTCACATAGTGCTTGGCTCTGTTGCCATCATGCCCAGCTGCTTGAAGGTGCACGTTTTACCTTCAGTTCCAGGGCGGATACCTTGATACTGGTTATCCTAGCTCTGAGCTTTGTCCTCTAGAATCTACTGTAGTGTGATGAGCCCATGAGCGGTGTCATATTCTTCAAGTCCTCCAGTATACTGTAGGCAGGCATTTGGAGGTTGTCAGGGGTTGAGCAGTGCAATAGCCAGTTGAGTAATCTTTCGAAGTTTTTTTCTGAATTTCTCTCCCCTCTCCAAAGAGGAGACCCATGTGACTATCTTCTGGTCGTGAGCAAGTCCACGTACAAGTGGTGTGTGGATGGGGGGGGGGGGGGTATACCTGTGCATAATGCACACGTGTGGACACTTAATCGTTTGCACTAGTGAAATGCTTGAATGGCAGAGCAGCAACTTTGCGAGCTCGCCATGCGGGGATTTCAGGACAATGGAATTTTTAGACACTACATTTTAACACTACTTTTTTATTTAAGTTTCAGCTGCGTATGCCTGCACTGAAACTCCGGCTACCACAGGGTTATTAATCGCACATCATATTGTTAGTACTTCTTGAATTCTGGTCGTTATCAGTAGCGTATCATGTGGGAACTTGGAGTTTCGAACGGAATCCTACAGCAAATTGCCTATGTTTGGATGGGTTTATATGTTGGAACTTTCTTGTATATGTTGTACTTCAGGTGGTTAGTGTGCACGATGAAGGAGCAACTCCAGTTTCGGCCAGTTCACCAAGTACAGCTCATCAAGGTTGACCAGATGTCTGACGTTTCTATGCAATAATGTGAACTTCTGTATCCTTCACAATGCTGTCAAAGCGTAATGGCTTCGATATCGGATGACCTAGGTATCAAACATGCACACGCTTACACTCAAGAATACAAACCACCATTGTCAGTTCAGTATCAAGTCTGAAGACGAAGAAGAAGAACCGACATAACCCTAAACCCCGGAGAGAGAGAGAGAGAGAGAGAGAGAGAGAGAGAGAGAGAGAGAGAGAGAGATGGGGCGCACAAATACAGCACTCTGAAAATGGCGGTGCTGGAAGGAAGCGTATGCATGCTGAGCCAGCGTACTGTGGAGCGCAGATAATGAGGCCAAAGCATTGCGACGGAGCACACACACAAGCCCATGTGGGCCTGAGCTGCGCAGCAATCGCGTGGTCAGGTGAGCTGTGATGTCATAGAAACCAAGATGGCAGCTCCATCAAGCTCGTCTAGCATGAGCTGGAAAGAAAGGAAAACTGGGTAAAGAGACAATTTTTTCACAATGGCAATCAAGAGAACAAGCTGAATCGACACGTCAATACTTTATCTGTACGAGGTCAAGTGATGGAACCGATGCGCAATAACAAAAATGAAAAAAAGGATTAAATAGTGAGAAGAACAAAAGAGAGAACACTCGTCAGGAATCGTCGTTGTACTAATGGACATTACAATACCAAAGAACTGTTATAGGAAACCAAAGTAAAAAGGTAACAACTAATGACAGCACTAAAATATAAAAATGTGACTTGGAACGAAGAAAAGCCGACATTTTGCTAGTTGGTATAAACACGGTAACTAATACCCACACCATCTTCGGCTTTGTGCTCACTGCCTCTGCTTTCTCCACTGTTGCTGGCATTGTTGGCGGAGGAGAGTGGGTATGGCTATACACTTGGAGATCTTGTGTCACTGCCTCTTCTGCCACCAACTGGGTCTACTTTGCCAGTGCCCCTGGGGCTGCAGCTGGGACAGTGCCGTTGCCTCCCCCGATCCTTCGCCATCTGGGCCTGCGGCGGTGAAGCATGAACGCGGCAGGCCACGTAAAACACCAACACTCACACCACAAGAAACAACTCGCACAGACCTACACTTTTCCTCAACAACACCAATACCCAACCAGCAACAAACGCAACTGGCCAACCATCGCCATTATAAAACGAATAACCACCAGAACAAAAGTGAACGTGAAGAAGAAATCAATCTGAGTGTCAAGGAGAAATAGAAACCGTGTAGTTGTGTATCTGGCGAAGGGTGCTTGCACCCAGCTAGGCGTGAGAGCAGCACTGTCAGATAATGAAGGGTGCTTGCACCCAGCTAGGCGTGAGAGCAGCACTGTCAGATAATGGAAAGACTGAGTTAGGAAAGGAGAAAGGCAATGGAGTTGCAGAATGAAACAACAGGGATCTCAAGCAAGCCGTGATCACTATTTTATGTGCATAATAAATATTCGTGAACGGCAGTTCTTGACAAATGTTTGTAGTTTACAATTGTTTATAAGTTTTTAAAGGATTGAAAAGGGGAAACGACTAATTCTGTTTATCACTATCCTTGACAGGTGTTGTAAATGCGTTGAAAAGGTCTCCGTTGCACGTCCTGAAATCTCGTCACGACTTCGACTCCTTGCCTGTTTTCCTGCAAGCTGTTGCTGCATGCCATTGATTTAGTCTAATTGATTCTGTATTAGGTAACTTCTCTTACCTGTTGGTCTTTGGCCACGAGTGTCGTCTGAGTAATTATGAACATTGCGTGCGTTTGCTAGTAGAGTTCACGATTTGCTAGAGTTACTTACGTGCTTTGTTACTATTCTCCCTGAGTGAAGTTCCGCTGCTGAGTAATCCTACGATGTGTCACTATCTGACAGGGTTTACTCTCACCCATATCGGGTGCAAGCACCCACTGACAGGTGAAACCCTTCGGCTTCCCATACGTCTCTTTCCTCTTTCCTTTCGGATTAATTATTGTAGTTTGAATTTCTATTTGTTTATTTATTTTGTGTGTGCGTGCACGAGCCGCTGCCATGTTTCTTCAGTCGTGTATACCGTCATACGGTCATCTCACGCGTGCACGATATCTGGCTTGCCTTATTTGTTGCGTGTTTGGTACGCTGAGTTCGCTTGGGTCGCCGTGTGTGCACCGGTACTGGCACGTTTTGCTGATGACAGCGTTTTGAGTGGTTTGTTCCTTGGTTGTTTCCTTTGGTGTTTTTCGTTGTTCTCTCAGAGTCGCAATAGCTCTCTTACCCGTATATCCGTTATGCATTCTATTCTATCATTACTGTAATGTTTATCTATCTAAACTCGTAATGCCCGTGGTGGTTGAGACTGAGAGTGCTTGTGTGCGGTACGCCTGGAAGTCTTGAGTGAGGTATCGTTGAGATACAACGCATACATAAAATTTGGCGATCACGCCAGGATAGTACTGCACTGGAGCGAGGAGCAGGGCCGATGTATTCGGCTGGGAGTGTGGAGGCAACGTTCATTGCGAACGGTAAGGCCTATGGTTATACTGGAGAGAGTCTGCGGAGTTACGTGGAGAGCAGGCGGGTCGAGCATGCCGAGCAGATCCAGAAGAGTGAAGAGCGCAAGGCTCGAATGGAAGAGAGAGACAGTACCAGGCAGCAAACAGAGTTGCTGGACAAGATAACGAAGTTAGAGGCGAAAGTCGAGTTAGCGGCTCAACAAGATGACACAGCGAGCAGTGTGTCTGCGGAGAGCGCTCAGGGGCTGAGAGCCAAACCGATAAAAATTCCGAAATATGATGCAAAGCAGACGGTGGAAAGCTACTTGGAGCTATTTGAAGACGTGGCCAACCAAAATCAGTACGAAGTTGAGGAGCTACTGATACGCCTACGAGTGGCCCTGGCGGGGAGTAAGCTGGAAAGTGCCTGCTATGGTTGTGAAACCTTTGCCGATGCCAAGCGTGAGCTGTTGACGGCATTTGGCAAGACGGCGGACAAAGCCTGGCAAGCCCTCATCGCTAACACCCAGAAGGCAGACGAGAGCTTTTACCAATTTGTCGTGCGAGTAAGTCGGGACACTGAGAAGTGGCGAAAGCTCGCAATGCCAAAGTCTGAGGACAGTCATCGCGGTGGACGCGATGAGAGTGGGCTATTTGCAGCCATGGTACGGCAAGTGATATTGGAGGCGATAGGTCCAGATATGAAAGCATTCATGATCGAAAAAAGGTGCTACGAGAAGGACCTGAAGGCATTCACTGAGGACGGCATGGCCTACCAAACCGCCCATGGCCGTAAGTCACTGAAGGTGAAGTCACCTGAGACGCATTACATCACACCTCAACATAGTGCCCAGTGCTTGGGAGTTTCCGTCGAAGGTGCTGAGAAGGAGCTTGCTACGCTTGCGCCGGTGGAACGCAGATGGTTTGTAGCCAGGGAGAGGCTGTGTTACAATTGTCTGAGAGTGGGCCATCAGGTCAAGGAATGTCAGTCTAAGACAAGGTGCAAATGCGGCTCCAAACACCACCCGCTGCTGCACTGGCCATCCGAAACTAAGCCGCCTAGGGGCACGGACAGCGAGGGTATCAGAACGTATAGCTGTACAACGTCCGCCGGTGTACACCTCATGACTGGAGTGGCAGAGGTGTGTGGATCAAAACGAGCTCGTGTCAGGGTATTCATTGACCCAGGATCGCAGGCTTCGTTTATTTCTGCCTCCCTAGCGTCAGCAATTCGACCATCCTGCCTGAGCACAGACGAAGTCAAGGTCACTGCGTTTGGAACGGAGCCAGTAGTACGGCAACTGGAGCGTCTAGAGGTAGTCTTGACGGGAACCTCGCGGGCAATCACGATCCGAGCATGGAAGAACGACGACATGAGGATGAAGTTCCCCCCAGTTGCAAAGTCCACAATCCAGCAATGGCAAGCCAGTGGAATTGAGCTCAGTGACCAGCCTAGTGAAGGTATACCCAATGAGGTACACTTGTTAATCGGTGCGGATCATTGCAATGAAATTCTCAAGGAGAAGAAGGTGGTCAATGGAGAAACCGCATGGAGCACAGAGATCGGCTGGGTCTTGTGCGGACCTACGAAGAGTTCCGTCCCAGCAGCTACGGTGAGTGTTGGCTGCATTGAGCTTGACCGGCTTTGGCGGATGGAAGAAGTTCCAGAGCGGTCAGCTACAGCGCTACCAGACTTTCTGCTGGAGAGAGAGGGTCCCAGCTACCAAGTTGGCCTTCTGTGGAAGGCAGAGAAGCGCCCACCGGACAACCTTAACCAAGCTATGGCAGCCGCGCAAGCATTAGTACAACAGCTACAGCGTAAGGGCAAGCGTCAAGAGTACGACCGCGTGCTCCTTGAAGAGTATGCGCAGCTGGACGCCATCGAGAAGGAGGAGCATCCAGAGGAGCCAGGCTATTACATGCCACACCATGCAGTATTTCGCAGCGACGCTACCACAACCAAGACGAGAGTCGTCTTCAACGCATCAGCGTCGAGATCAGGAGAGCAGTCGCTAAATGACCTGGTGGATCCAGGACCATCCCTTCTGCCAGATTTGGTGGGGCTCTTGCTCCGTTTCCGTGAGTACCCAGTTGCTTTTCAGGCTGATATACGGAAAGCATTCTTTATGATAGGAATGCGGCCGGAGGACAGGCCATACCTCCGGTTTGTCTGGCCGGAGATAGGGCAGGAGCAGATGTGCATTTGGCGCTTGAAGAAGCTGCCTTTTGGGGTGAATTGCTCACCTTTTATTCTGAGTGCTGTTCTGCGCTATCATTTAGATCATGCTTTAGGCTCTGCTTCTGCTGAGGAATGTGCCATTATTAAGCTTCTCTTGCGCAGCTTTTATGTTGATGATTGCGTATCTAGTGTGCCTTGCTCTGCTGATGCTGAAAAGCTGCAGGAATACAGCATGCATATGTTGCAGGGAGCAGGCATGGAGTTGCGGAAATGGCGGGGAAACACGCTTCCATCAGACCCAGAGGCAGGTAGCAAGGCGCTAGGCATCGTGTGGGCGACCGAAGAAGATGTCATCTCAGTTGCTGATCTGGGTAATGTCGATGCCCCAAGTAAGTTTGGCTGGTCCCGTCGTGCGTTGCTGCGCTGCGTCGCTGCAGTGTATGATCCTCTTGGTTTGGCATCACCCGCTATTTTGCCTGGCAAGTTCCTGTTGCAAGAGTGTTGGAAGTTGGGTGGAGGATGGGATGACCCCCTACCAAGCAGTTTGTCCATGCGTTGTGCCGAATGGTGGGGAGGGCTGGCAGATATCTCTGCAGTTCGCATTCCCAGGTGGCTCGGTTGCCCAGTTGGGAAGCCTGTCTTCTTGCATATGTTTGCAGATGCATCTGAGAAGGGCTATGGCTGTTGTTTGTACGTGGTGACTGGTGTTGTTTCCTCTTTGTTGTTCGCGAAAGCAAAGGTGGCACCTGTGGCTCGGCCTACTCTCGCTCGTCTGGAGTTGCAAGCGGTGTGCCTTGCCGCGAAGGTGCTGTCATTCGTTGTCAGTGAGCTGAGGATTCCGATCGAGCGGATTGTTGGCTGGACCGACAGTCTGACTACTTGGCATTGGATCTCGAAGCCGTCGTATCAGTGGAAGACGTATGTCGCTAATCGGGTAGCAGCTGTGCAAGAGGTGTCGCGGAAGTTGCACGTAGAATGGCGTCACTGTCCCGGTGTGAGCAACCCAGCAGATCTTGTGTCCCGCGGTGTTCCGGTGAGTGGCCTTCAGACAGTGATATGGTTGCATGGCCCGCCTTGGTTAAGCGAGGAGTCTGAGTGGCCACAGTCGATTTCGTCTCACAGCACGCAAGAGTCCGCCATTGAAGCACGCGTAGCGGCAGTGAATACAGTCAGGCAGTCAGTTGTTTGGCCATGGGAGAATCTTTCGAAGTGGCAACGGGCTCGTGGAGTTGTCGTGCGGATGCTCCAGTGGAAGGAGCCGGCAACCCGCGCTGAGCTGTTCCCTAAAGCAGAAGCTTTCTTGTACCGGTCCATCCAACAAGAGTGTTTCGCGGAGGAAATCGCTATGCTGCAAGAAGGCAATTCCTTGCCTCCTAGTTCTCGCTTGTACAAGTTGTCACCCTTCCTCGATGACGCTGGGTTGCTGCGGGTCGGCGGCAGGCTGCAGGAAAGTGAGCTAGGATATGACGCTAAGCACCCTATCATCCTAGCGAAACATCATCTGACCGAGCTCTTGCTGGAGATGGTGCATAAGCAACGATTGCACCAAGGTGTCGAGAGCGTCCTTGCCTTTCTTCAACGCAAGTTTTGGATTCTGTCTGGGCGTCGCCTGCTGAGAAGTGTTACCGAGAGATGCTTTGCTTGCCGTTGGTTCAAGGCCAAAGCAGCAGCCGAGGTGGTGGCGCCCTTACCAGCAGACCGTGTTGAACATCAACAGCCGTTCGGCCTTACAGGCATAGACTACGCCGGTCCTCTTTACGTCCAAACGGGAGAGCGGTCCGCAAAGCGATGGGTCGTGCTCTTTGTATGTGGTACCACTAGAGCAGTTCATCTGGACATGGTGGATAGTCTGTCAACAGAAGCGTTCCTTCTTGTCTATCGCAGATTCGTCGCGCGGCGTGGGAAGCCTTGCAGAATTCGTTCGGACAACGCTACGACGTTCAAGGCTGCCGCGGAGAAGATAGAGGTAGTGTGGAGCTTCAACCCACCCGCAGCACCCTGGTTTGGCGGGTTTTATGAGCGCCTGGTCGCTTGCGTGAAGACACCTCTGAAGAAGGTGTTGGGCAAAGCGCTTCTGAAACCTGAGGAGCTGGCCACAGTCCTGGCGGAGATCGAGGCAGTGGTGAATTCGCGCCCGCTTACGTCCGTATCAACGGACATCGGTGATGACATGGCCTTGACCCCAGCCATGATGATGGGAGATGTCTTTGCACCAGGGGCCCCCGAGGTAGAAGACGGCCTTACAGCTGCACAATTATCGGCCCGGTTCAGTTACATCATCAATGTCAAGGAGCACCTGAGGAAGCGGTGGCGGGAACAGTACTTGGTCGGCCTCAGCAGCTACCAGTCCGCCCAGGCCCGTCCGATCAAGGCTGGTGAGGTTGTCCTGGTTGTTGACGACAAGAAGAAGCGGCACCTTTGGCGCCTCGGTAGAGTGATAGAGCTGTTCGCTGGTCGAGATGGCAAGAGCCGAGTAGCACGGGTGAAGATTGGTAACAGCACCATGCTCCGGGCAATTCCCCGTCTGGTTCCGTTGGAAGTGGCTAGTGAGCCCGAGCAAGTGGCTAGTGAACCGGAGGTGCCAATCGAGCAGCTGGCAAATACTCCAGCGGATGAACAGAGTGATCCCGTCTCAACCCCAGCAAGTCCAGATGTGGGGCAACCGGCTGAGCCACGAGAGTCACCTTGTTTGAGGAGGTCTAGGCGGGCCGTCAGGATCCCAGCTCGTCTTGACTTGTAGTGTGCGAAGACCTTTGGTGGGGAGGATGTTGTAAATGCGTTGAAAAGGTCTCCGTTGCACGTCCTGAAATCTCGTCACGACTTCGACTCCTTGCCTGTTTTCCTGCAAGCTGTTGCTGCATGCCATTGATTTAGTCTAATTGATTCTGTATTAGGTAACTTCTCTTACCTGTTGGTCTTTGGCCACGAGTGTCGTCTGAGTAATTATGAACATTGCGTGCGTTTGCTAGTAGAGTTCACGATTTGCTAGAGTTACTTACGTGCTTTGTTACTATTCTCCCTGAGTGAAGTTCCGCTGCTGAGTAATCCTACGATGTGTCACTATCTGACAGGGTTTACTCTCACCCATATCGGGTGCAAGCACCCACTGACAGGTGAAACCCTTCGGCTTCCCATACGTCTCTTTCCTCTTTCCTTTCGGATTAATTATTGTAGTTTGAATTTCTATTTGTTTATTTATTTTGTGTGTGCGTGCACGAGCCGCTGCCATGTTTCTTCAGTCGTGTATACCGTCATACGGTCATCTCACGCGTGCACGATATCTGGCTTGCCTTATTTGTTGCGTGTTTGGTACGCTGAGTTCGCTTGGGTCGCCGTGTGTGCACCGGTACTGGCACGTTTTGCTGATGACAGCGTTTTGAGTGGTTTGTTCCTTGGTTGTTTCCTTTGGTGTTTTTCGTTGTTCTCTCAGAGTCGCAATAGCTCTCTTACCCGTATATCCGTTATGCATTCTATTCTATCATTACTGTAATGTTTATCTATCTAAACTCGTAATGCCCGTGGTGGTTGAGACTGAGAGTGCTTGTGTGCGGTACGCCTGGAAGTCTTGAGTGAGGTATCGTTGAGATACAACGCATACATAAAAACAGGAAAGGGAAATTGAAATTGGTCTTTCATGATACGGGAACTCTTCAGACCATTCTTGCAACAAAGAAACATGAAACATCCCACTGATCAGCAGAGAAAGTTCGTTAACATACATCTTGCGATAAAATGCCATACAGCGTGCTTGTCATAAATCACGGCGATTGTGGAAGAAGGCGACGGACGCTATTTTAAAAATCAGAAAATTGAAGAGTGAGAAAATGATCGGCAGTAATCAGAACTGGAAGTGATGACAGCAAAGAAAACCTGATGTTTTCTGGAGAGAAAAAAAGATATGAGTCTGTCTAGTATTCTTACGTGTAGGATAGTCCTGTTCACTTCTGGACAAGAAACAAACCATGCATGGACATGTAAGTACATGATTGCGCACTGCAGTAGTCACACCACAACTGCAAACAGTCTGACACTCCAAAACAACCCGAGCACGAATCCTGTGCCCTATCACCCAACAAACACAGCTCTGGGTTGAATGAAGAGTTAGTCAAAATGATAAAGAGAGGAAAAAGAATTCTGCCAGCCAACGAGCCTGGAGGCTCGACACTTTTCCTGTGAGTGCACTGACAGTAACGGCTTTTGTTGTCCTTCAACGCCTTTATATGTTGTCTCTTTTCTTTCCTTTTTTTGCTTCATCCAACACATCCTATCAAAAATAGATACCCAAGAGTGTGCGGCACAACAGTGGCCATCCCTCAGTCCACTGCGGATTTTTTTATGACATCACTCTTTTGCGGTCATTCAGCTCACTGATGCTATCATGTGAAGCAAGAGATCAAAAGTCCACAAAAGATGTACAACACAGCTATCAGCTGAACAATGGACAGTATATCCATACGTCCTGAAACTGGTGAACTTACACCGCATTATCCACGACAAGCACAGAAAATCCTACACACTCTGCCGAACATGATACAATAAAAATTGGCAAGTCCACCACAGCTCAAGTTAGGAATTGCCCACTTTTGCCTACGCACATTCTTTGTCTAGATTTATTTGCCCGTGCACCCCGACCTTCATCACACACAACAACATGCGGGGTGTGCAGGCTTACTGCGGGGTGTGCAGGCTTACTGCACAAGACTTCTTGCCAAAGAAATACATCATGACAACTCACAACCGCATCAGGCAGCAACTAGCCAGGCAACAGCGGCAGCGTAACTAGTATCAATATATGCCGAAAAATCAAACAGCAATGTGTGCTTCTGCTAGCCGAGGGTAACCACACCTGCCACGCATACATTTTGTTGAAATTAGTAGTCTATACTATAATTGCATACAAGCACAACCATACAGACAGCAGCGGCCAGCATGATGCTCAACATCAACACCAAGATGGGGTGGGTGGGCGGGCACCTGCTGCTTGGCAAGAAGAAAAACAATGATCAGCAATCCGCGCCAGCACCAGTTTCCAGCAAAAACTGTGCCCTCACACCCATCCTTCACCACGTGCCAAAAAATCTACAAAGAACACAATTTCTCGTTTATTTCACTGCGAACGAGAAATAAACATTTCTTTCCTATTCATTGTTTCTGTAGGTGCCCAGATGACAGGCAAGGAAGCTGGCAAGCCGGTTATTGCATTTGGCAGTCGTGTTAACAAATCTCCATTGAAGTCGCCTCCTACTAAACCCTTGCACCGAATGGTGAGTTGATAGAAATTTCACGGAGGCAAAGTTCCTGCCTTTGTGAGGCTGCACTGTGCGTTTTGGTTGTCTCACAATTATGAATTGATGTTTGATGATAGCTTGCATAGACCTCATCATACACAGACATGCTGCACAGCCTCTGTTCTGATATTGACCTAAAACTTGACCTTAAACTGTTGCTATGGGGCTAATGAAGGAGTCCACAAATTTAGACGTGATTGCACAAGGCATACTATGAAATTCCATGGCAACAGCCCATGGTAACCATGGAAACATACTATGGAATTTTGCATTCTACTGCCTTGGCAGGCTAATAAAAACATTAGGTCTTCACCACGATTGATGTGCCACGGTCAAAATTTACTTTGGACAGAGTTGCTAGCGCTCCGACAGGAGCATCTGCAAGCCATTTTGACATTTGATAAAATTGCACATAATTATGCAATGCTTAGCAACTCTGTCCAAAGTGAATTTTGACCATGGCACATCAATCGTGGTGAGGACCTAATATTTTTATTAGCCTGCCAAGGCAGTAGCATGCACTTATAAGTGAATGAAAATCACAAAACCACACGAGGTTCATCATGGTTCCATTGCACTGGCATTAACCAATAATATGCATACTTGCACATGTACATGTCGATGCGATGCTTGTCTCTCGCATATAAGACCATGGTCTTATAATCGAACGAAAATGCACTTGTGAAAGGACCGAAAACAGCGACTTTATAAGACCATGGTCTTATATGCGCGAGATTACGGTACTTGCACATGTACATGTCCATGCGAAGTTTGTCTCTCGCATATAAGACCATGGTCTTATAATCGAAAGAAAATGCACTTGTGAAAGGACCGAAAACAGCGACTTTTTGATTATAAGACATGGTTTTATATGCGAGAGATTACGGTATATGGGCCTCAACCAGCGAAAACAGCCCTTAGGGTCAACATTTTCAAAATTCCTTTTTGGTTAGAAATTTGTTGAACCATATCTACTGAAGGACCTCAGCCAAGAAAAGGTTCAATATTCCGATTCTAAACGGGTGTATACACCAATATACAAGGTGTACCCCAAATTGGTGCAATGTATGTATACGATGTATGTGTACAATGAATATTCAGCATTCGAAGGTGAGTGGGCAGCTTGAATACTTTTGAAATAGTGCAGTAAGCAGCTATAATGACAAAGAATAGCTGATGAGTGCGGAGAAATGATCGACATATTCGCAGCTGCATCCTGCGTGGAGTCGTTTCGCAATCTCGTCTTCCATTTCTTCCTCCGCAGCTGAAGACACGACGTTGCTGCCGTCACTAGCCCCAGACTCAGAATTTATCTCAGGTGACGACTCCTCATCTTCCGACTCTGACGAGTCATCGGCCACCTTGAGCCGCATCGCAGCAGGAGATGACGGCTGCGATTCCGCCTCGCTGTCGACATGCGGATGTCGGAACCAAAGAACGTCTCATCCTTATTCTGAACTTCAGCGGCTACTTCAGCATCCACTCCCGGATCCCCACCAGGCTCGAGCTAGCTGTAGACAATCACTGCCGTGTGTGCGCTGCGAACAGCTCTGGCGTCCGCATCCATCGCAGCAAGATCAAGGAACACTGGAGTCGCCACTCGACACCACTTCAACTAACTTCAAAATAAACTACTTCAAGCAAGGAGTTCAAGAAGTCGTCGCGCTGTTCGCAGCGCGATCAAAACAATCGTTGAACGTCACAAAACGACCTTTTTCTCGAAAAAATTACGAAATCTCTAAGGGTCGTTTTCGCTGATTGCGGCTCATATTTATTTGATATTCACTACTTCAGTAGTTGAGGGAGTTGTGTATGATTATCTCTTGTGCCCTGCCAGCGCTTGCGTGTCAAGACCAAAGGCATGCATGATTCTTTTCCCAGGACAGTTTTGCTTCCCTTCGATCAGAGATTCGTTTTCTCTTTCTATCTCAATCATAAGTCTATAGCGTATCTAGGAATCATTCCTTCAGTCAAAGCTTCGAGTGAATAGCATTTTCCTCTAGCCATAAATACGAATTTTAAAACAAATGGTTTACTTCTATCAGTCTCAGTTCTCCCGACCTATTTAAAAGAGCGAAATACTTAAAGCACAAATTTTGTCCACGACTTGATATTTCGGGTACAATTATGATGCAACAATGAGCACTGCCCACACTTAGTATGTCGAGCTCATTGAAACAGGAGGTCTCTAACACCTCTTGCACCTATGGTCAGATTTGACTACGGACTATCTATACCTCTACCTGACCAACTGGCGGTAAATCATGTAGAGCCACAGGGTTCTACCCAGGTGAATATAGTAGGGGGGGGGGGGGGGGGCATAGGAAACAGTTACCCGGTATCCCATTTTTCCACTTTCCAATATTGTCTTGCCATGCTAAATGCAACGTATGTGGCGAATCCCCGACTTTGCCCCAGACAAGTGTGCCTTTATGAACCATCTAATAGTGACTTTCGGCTGCATTTTTCGTTGAATTGCATGAAAAACACGAAAATCGGAAAACGAGTAGGGGGGGGGCACTTTTTCACAGGGGGGGGGGGGGCTCAAACAGAGTAGGGGCGCTGCGAGTAGGGGCGCTGCCCCCCCCCCCCCCCCCCCCTACTCCCTTTGGCTAGAACCCTGAGCTAGTTGAAGCTTGCTGCACGATGCCTAGTAGTACACTATATTGAGCACAATGCGACAGATTTAAAAGCATAAGGAAGTTGGTTGCTCTGACATTAGAGCTCACGCTTTTCCCGTCGACCTGACTTGACACTTCACTGACTCACGGCTGCCATCCAGAGCACACGAGACATCCATCTACCTTCCTCTCGGCAAACCTGCAAGAATGCACCACTCCCTGCTCAATACACAGTGTTTGGGGGAATTCACCCATCACTTTTCCCACTGACCCAACTTGACACTTGACTGACTCACGGCTGCCATCCAGAGCACACAAGGGGGGAAAAGCTCAAGCTCCAGTGTGGGAGCAACCAAACTCCTTATAAAATTATCACCGAGGTCACTACCACTATTTTGAAAAGAAAAGTGTACAATTATAAGTAGTCTGATTGTATTATATGACTTTAAAAGGCAGTAAATCACTCGATATCTTCAGTAATGTGCATATTTGACCTCTGCCAATGACTATAATGCAGGTGAGTGAAATAGACACCATTTCAACACTGAGTGGAATCAATGATCAACTTGTTGGGGAAGTCACAGGTGAGTAGGAGAACCATTTGCCACATCTTCTATTAGGAATGCCGGTGAAGCCCCTGTTTCGAGCTGTTTCCATTACTGACCCCAAAATATAGGCTCTCTGAGTCTCTCCCATCCCCCCCCCCCCCTCCACACACACACACGTCACGTGAAATCACACATCTACTGTAGAACGGCTAATTTTAGCGGGTAGAGGCGACAGTTTCAAATAAGATATAGGTTGCAAACCGGAACGGACTCAATATTCACTTTCTCTCTTGGTATTTTGATTAGAAAACATATGTCACAGTGAGACTACGATGTGTTATACTCCGAGCCAAAATTTCATGGCTCTGTGATGACCAGAAGCGCCATACCAAGCAGGTGAGTTTTTGACGTGTTACTTCGCACTGCGACTTGAGTTTTACTTCTTCTTTTTATCAACTTCTTGTCGCAGGTAAACAGCGGGTCGCCTCTCACCAATAAAGCACATTATGCCAAGAGTACATGAAACCCAGAGTGTGCAGCTCGGATGGGTTGCTGTCACGGCGGAATTCCGGGATTACATCACTTTAGTGATGTAGTGCGTACAAACAGGATTCAAGCAGGTCTCTTTCTGAACAACTGCAGCTCAGTTGTACGCACTACGCCATTTCCCGCCTCAGATCTGCGCCAAATATGATGTAATCACGGAATTCCGCCGTAACAGACACCCATAGCAGAAAAGGCCCCAAGCTGTACGCTCTGGTTTTCATGTACTCTTGCTTATACCAATGAAAACTAATGGAAGCACACACAAGGCTTATTCTTATTCTGTACTGGTCGTCGTGGAGCGATAGCAATTACCTAATTTCAGAACTCAGAGTGAATTTGACATGCACTATAAAACATTTCCGGTTTGGAGCCACCTCTGATTTGAAGCGAAAAACTGGGCAACTTGGAGGCAATGGGCCAACACAAAGGAGTGGCTCAGTTCGATTAACTCTGGCCTCAGGGCAAACTTCAACATGCCAGTTTCCTTCTACAAACATATTTCGAGTGAACAATCCACGCTGATGATCGGTTTGGGTCTATACAAATTTGGCTGTCAAGCCGTTCCGGTATCGAACCGTCCCCTCTACATTTTTTGGCATTTTCAGAACGTGGACCAATTCGCGATCCGAGTTTCAGAGCTTAAAAAAAAGATGACTAGTGCTGTACATGCAACATTTCGATTGGCGTGGCGAAACTTTAGCGAAAACACTCCTTTCGATAAACTCGCTAAAATTCCACCGGCGCTAAAATTAGCTGTTTTACAGTATACACAACGATAGCCACAGAACTTACTGGGAGAGTACATGTGTACTCAAGTTGAATCCTGAGCGGCATGTTTAGAACGGTCTCTGGGTCTCTGGGTCTCTGGGTCTCTGGGTCTCTGGGCTGCATCAATCAAATAGACTGATTACCCTGATGATGGGGACAGGCCCGAAAATTTGCTGTAATGTAGATTTGAATTTGAATCTCAGTGAATAGACCTTTTTTTGGAGTTTGGGCCAGTGAGAAGTGAAGTTTCCTGAATGTGTAAATGGCTGCGTTGGAGTTAACGGACAATTAGAAAAGTACATCAATCAATTAAAAACTTTAAAACGTCATCCGAATTTTCAGGCAAGGCATGAATGAAGTCCGCACTCTAGTGTCTAGTGAAATTCAGTAGTGATGCAATGTGTTGAGTGAATGGCGTTTTCTTCGAACAAATAATCTCTCGAATATAGCTTTGCTGAACAAAGAAATATTCTACATTCTTCTGATGTGGCTCGTTCACTTCACTCAATCATACCCAACATTCATGTTGCATACGGATCACGTGTATAATCAATGGCCTTTGGCAAAAGAGCAGAATTGGCCGAAAACCAAGCTTCACACTCACGGCTCTGAAAACATAATTTCTGCACTGTCGTCCTCAACATTGCTCAGTATATCAAGGTCGTAGCTGGATAATACAACCGTACTGTTCGAATTTTCTATCTATTGGATATTCGAATGTTACTGCTCACATCCGAATATTCTTTCTAGTGTCAGTATTCTAGAACATTTGAAGAACTCGAATATTCCTTGCATCACTACTTTATTGTTAATTGGTTGGTGTAGCCCAGGTACCATTTTTATTGCTTTTCGGCAACAGTACTTTATCGTATGCAGGAGAATTGTTGGCTGGTAAAAACGTGTTGCCCTCTACCATGGTGAATCCTGGTGTATATCAAGGCAAAAGTCAGGGAATTTCAAATGTATGCCCATAGCGTCACCTAATACTCGATAACCGAAGGATTTGCAATGAAATGAATGCATATGGAAGGAACTACAATGCAGCTTGAAGAGGGAAGAAAGAAAATTCCACGGGACCTGCATGCCTAATTTCACAGTGGAACATTTCGTCATTTTGATTGGTTCTTATTGAGCGGATTGATGCCGGAATTCATTTTCTAATTGCTGTCACAGATACACCAGCTGGATGCTTTGGAGCTGGATGCTCAGCTGAAAATTCCGTGCTAAACAAGCAAGGAGTCCCGCACAAGGCTTCCGATGTTGTACTACTCAACGGAATGCAGCCAAGTCCACCAGCCGTGCTGAAGAGTGATGGAGAAATCTGGGCTTCACAACCACCAAATGCCACAGGTAGTAGCAGTAGTGCTAGTCGGAGCCGTCATGGAAACAAGCGCTCTCAGCGTGTACTCCAACCTCTGGGCTGGATTGAGCGCGATGTTCCAATACCATCGGAGGAAAGTGATGAAGACGACCCATTGTTCATCTCTGGAATTTCCCTCTCACAACCAGAGAAAGTCAAGTCCCGTGGAAAGCAATTTACAAAGCCATCCAGGTAACTGGCAATCGCTAGAGAGATTATTATGCAGAGTGGAACTTGAGCTCCACTAGCACAGCACGTTCTGTAGTGCACCTGTGCTGGGCAGAGTTATGAGGCTGTGAACAGGTCCCATTGCACCCTGGCAGTTGACAGCATCAGCAGTATTTCGAATCGTATTGATGGTGCATATGATTACTCACCGACAGATGGGGAATAAACTGATCTCTGTCTAGCGGGAGGTTCACGAAAGTCGCATACCACGTGCCGTAGATACTGTGGTCGCTGAGGTACTTCCAGCAACGGCGAGGTTCAGGGGCATGACAATGAGCAGCCGTTGTCCCAAAAATCATGCCGTGGCATTCTGTTGCCATCCGTGAGGACGGTGTGACTAAGACATTTCAGGCTTTCAGCTGCGATGCACGGTGACATGATAGGCTCCAGACGTCCCCATAGATCTCACGGCGGGCGTTCAAAATCTGGTCCTTCCAGCACTTTGCAAATAAAATGCCCAGGATTGAGTGCACACATCTTATGAGGGATTTGTACAGACGATGTACCGCATTCTCCGGAGCAAAAGCCACCCATTGAACACTCAAAATTCACCCCAAAAAAGGAGGGTACGGCTTCTACTCCGATGATCTAATTAACGGTGATAAATGGGATTGATTCCGTATTTCGTGGCAAAAAAATAGGGGGTGCGGCTTCTACTCCACTGCGGCTTTTACTTCAGTGCGGCTTATACTCCGGAAAATAGGTCATGCTGGAGAGGTTCCGAACGTCGGAGCAGAAAAGCAATAGATACAACACACAAGCATTGCACAGACATCTTTTTTCTGTGGATCCAGAATGATGTCGATTGCCAAAAATAGAAATCTGCAATGCATATTATGATACGGGCATCTACATCTAAAGACTCATGCACACTCCTACTCATACTCCTGCCCAGTGCTGAAGCGATGATAGCAAACAAGCTATGTTAAACATAGCAACGTGGGCGGGGATTACATCATTCAGCAGGTCTCGCGTGCACACACACAGACTCACACAGGCACACACACACACACACACACACACATACACACACACACATACACACACACACACACACACACACACACACACACACACACACACACACACACACAAGAGAGATTGGAAGCTGTGTTGCAACTCTGAGTTTCACGTATTACTTCGATCATCAGGCAACTGATGGCTCCAAAACAGGCAGCCTATCTATCTATCTATCTATCTATCTATCTATCTACACAAGAGAGATTGGAAGCTTTGTCACAACTCTGAGTTTCACGTATTACTACGATCATCAGGCAATATATCTATCCATCTATCTATCTATCTACCCAATGCTGTAGACAGCAAGCTTTTTCGGCCATAAAGGCCTCATCAGTACAGCTACGACCTAAATAGGCCGAGCTACCAGCCATAGTGCAAAGGAGGCACCACAGACATTAAGATAGCTCGTCGCTCTAGCGCCAGAGTGCTCAAACTACAAAAAGTAGCGGGCATTGCGTGATGCAGCAGCACTAGAGCAGCCTATTGAGAGTGCTCAACAAGACGAAAGCCGAGGAGCGTAATACCCAATGCTGTAGACAGCAAGCTGTTTCGGCCATAAAGGCCTCATCAGTACAGCTATTAAGTAAGCTAAGAAGCTGGAACATAACTGGAGTAAAAATACCTATACATTTACCCAATGGCTATACATTTATAATCTCCAGGACTTGCTTGTGCAGTATACGAGTATTCCCTGAAGTCTTTTTGTTGTTTCTGTTCTTGTTGTATAATGTGTTTGCAGTAACAAACGGCATGGTCGGCTTATCAAGAGTGCTAATAGAGATTTACCAGAACCACAAAGCCAGGGCTCATCTGCATCCAGGCTACCTGCTGTTGAAGGGCGACGTGTTGATTTTAGTGGGCCTGGAGTGATTCCAGTAGAAGCAGCAGCAGCAGCAGCTCCATGCACTTCAGGGGGACGACTTCCCATGCCAACAGGGGAGCAGCAATCCGATGAAGACAGTACCACATCCACCTCATCGCCGCAAAATAACTCAAGCCTCAAGAAATTCGCTTTTCAGTTCCATGGTGGACCGTCGGTACTGAACAGCAAGTCACAACAGCTATCCCAGCAACTGCCTTCAATAACATCTGGGAGAACCAATGTCAAACCATCATCAAACCCGAGAATGAATGCCCAGATCAACCAACTGTACATGGATGACAGTAGTGATATTGAGCTTGTTGGTGTCGTCACTGGCAGTGGTGTTTCATTAGACATGGACAAGGGCACTGATGAACTTGGCAAACATGTAATCCGTACAATGGATGCATCAGAACGCATGAAGGATTACGCAAACATGGCATTTATGCATGGAGCCTCGCCCACCGACGTGCTACCTATCGGCGCCCAACATGACACACATTCTGAATATGCAGAAGAGGAAGGAAGCAGCAACAGGAGTCGTGATACAGATATTCACAGTGCTGCTGTTGCTACCGGTATACCTCTTTCCAGCTCTGATGACAATGCTCTACACATGCACAATCATGGTGGGCTCATCGGACTGGATGGTGGATATATTCTGCCATCATTTAGTCGTTGCCAGAACAGACTGGACAGTAGTATATCAGACAGAAGCAGCCTCAGTGTAAGTATCTCTTCTGCCAATGCAACTCTTCCTCTGATGCTCTCCACTCGTGGATTGTGGATAGCAAAGCAAGTCAGCAACAGGTCATGCCATTTGTGGGGTAGACATTCCGGTTTGTGAAACCAGTTCTAGATTACACATGCACACACACACACACACACACACACACACACACACACACACACACACACACACACACACACACACACACACACACACACACACACACACACACACATGCACACACACACACACACACACACACACACACACACACACACACACACACACACACCGGAATTCATTCCGCTCACAGATACATTGTTTTGCACCATGGATTCTAGCCACCCTTCCTCGTGCACCACATCTTTCGTCTAATTCACCTAGCTCAGGGCATGCATCCACCATGCAATTCGTGGCACTGTTATAAAGGAAGTGGTCAGATTTCGCTGGCCAGCAATTTGCTTGTCTGTGCACTATGTTGACATGTTGAAAATTTTGCATCGAATGACGGTGTTTTCCAGGCAGTTCCTGACTTGCTTCCATTCATAGTTTATCCTGAGAAGGGTCAGTCCCCAATGGAGCATGGGTGGCCCATATGCCCCAAACTTGCGTCCAGGGATCATTAGTGCACAGAATATATGGCAGGAAAACACTGGAAAACACTGGAATGTTGTTTGTATTGAATGTTGGATACAGGCACTAGTAAGAGTACACAGGCTCCCTGCTGAGTGTGTAACTCCGGATACCCTTTCTATGGGATCCGCCGCCGGTGAAAACTCGCATCTCGTAATGTAGTATTCCCGTTGTACGTTCCCAGCCCGTTTTAGCGACCAATGGAGTTGAAAAGTAGCACTTCATGACAGAAACCCACTCAGCTTGTGTGAGTCATCAGTATGATCATGGCAGATATTCGGATTGTGCGCACGCCAACCTGCGTTGTACATAGTACAAATTGTACTTTGTACACGTGATGTGAGTTTTCGACGTCGGAGACCCTATATGCAGAGTTCCACACTCTTGGGAGCTCATTTACTCTTGGTACTAGCTGTAGTAGCATTGCTTTTCAGTATGATAACTATAATGATATGATAGTACATCAGATCTCTAATGGCATGATACGGGTTTTAATACTCTGTGAATGGTGTCTCATGCAACCTCATGTAGAGTATGTCTTGGATGGCAGCAAGCAAGTCAGGTATGGATGGACAGCCGCTTTCGGAAGCTGACCTGGAGAGCTTCAATCAAATGCCAGCTGCAACACCCAGTAATGCGAATGACAGTGTGATCATTCATGCTGTGAATCAAGACATGCCCGATTACTCCAGGGCTTCATCGCAGGATCTACCATCTCTACGTTCGACGATGGGCAGTAGCATGGTAAGACTGCGCACATAGTTGTATCCGAAACCCACAGTATTTCACAGTATTGTAAAAAAACAACACCATCACCGATCGTTGTTGTAGGCGCTGCACAGTGCTGCACAGCTGATTATATTGTGTGTTCTGACTACACGGTGCAATCATGAATGTAACAAGAACTGAATATGCAGTCAGATAGTGCGACAAGACGTAAAATGGACAGGGTACTGAGACATTCAAAGACCTGGCACCTAGCTCCAAACATATATGAAGTGCAAGCCAACAACCTTGCAACTTGTAAGGCTCAGGTACAGAAAGGTCCAACGAGGGAAACTGACAGTATCTTGTTACATTCGTGGACTGTTGGTATCAACTCCCAACATTCTGTTCTTCCTCAATATACATGAATACAACTGTTAGTAATAGTTAGTAATAACAATTATCTCACCATCCAAGTTCAAATAAACATATTGAATCATTATGCTTATACAGGAGTACACATTGGATTTTGCTGTTGGCAAGGACTTGGGAGAGAGCTTTGGTGACGATGATCGATTACACTTCGGACTGCAGCTCCAGAGACCAGAGTCTAAAGCAAGGTAGGTAGGTATGCATAGCCACTTGGTGGCATTACAAGTGCACTGTGCTGCGCAGTAGCTCTTCCACAGCCCTCGGCCTCTTTGGCTTATCCTGAATGCTGATGCATACTTGTCGAGTTTCTAAAACTCCACATTACTCCCGGCACTCGCACTCAGGAAAAGGGAAGACCTTACTAGTGAAGGAGACAATGAAGGAGATGGATAGAGAAACAATGGATTACATTGACATTGCATATCTAACTGCGGGAGTCGGGGGGAGGTTTGGAGTGAACATTAGACATACTCACATGCAACAGGCTTAGTTACCTTATGATCTGCAGCGCATGTATGACGTGCAGCATTGAGCACATGGACTTTATAATTATAATGATTTTTCGCACATTAAAAGAAATATACAAATAACCTACGTGGAGATAATAATTTTAATATAGCTATGAATAGGATGAAGGCCGCAGACATCACGCAACTACGTTACTTGTTTGACATGTATTACTGTGTATTTTATAATAAAAATATTATTGAAAACCCAGAATCGATTTTCTTGTTCCTATCATCAGTGGGAAAGAACCCACCCCCTGTGCCAGTGGTACAGACTGAGCCAACACAGAATGCAGTGCCGTGTGGGAGAGCTAGGCTGCCCAAGTTGCCAACTCCAGCAGCACCACCGTCGCCCTTGCCACCACCAGAACTGCCACCGGCTCTTCTTGTGGCGGGGGCTGGGGTGGACCCACCTACACTCGCGCTGGCATCACCAACTCTCACACGAATTGCCACGCCGCCCACGTTAATCCAGAGACCTCGGAGGGCAACAGCAAACTACTCCACAGAGATCTATGCCAGAAACGGCCAAGGACCGCGCGTTGTGGACAGTACCAACAGGAGGAGGGTCGAGCAGTATCATGAGTCAGTGAGTGAAGCGGATCTGGAGGAACAACTCCGCTCACGGGACGAGCAGCTAGCAAATGGGAGACAAGTGGTCTGTACTGAAACGGAAGATGAGACGAATGATCAGAGGATGGAAGAGGAATTGGATGACGAAACGGTTGGTGAGGAGACAGAGGACGAGGCAGATGATGGTGGTGATGATGATCGTGAGGATGACGAGCGGAACGAGGAAGAGGATGATGAGATGGACGAGGAGGAGTCGGGTGGGAAGGAGCGAGATGAGGCGGATGAATGTGTTGATCGTAAGAAGTCAGCTGTGTATCTACACTTGTTATCTCGTCCTGACTGTCTTGGTGTGTATGATGACTCTCAATTTTCTGTACTGTGTCGTGCGCGTTATGTCCAACAGTTGAAAGTCCTTGAGGCAGTTTGTATACGTATTCATAAGCCTGTTTTGTGTAAGCAGAAAGAGCACGTTGTTGCACTGAAGTTGTATTCGTAGGTTGACACTTCGTTCAGTGCCTTCTCGCCTTTGGTTATGTAATCTTGTTACCTTTTTTGCGTTTCCTCTAGTGGTTTTATTGCACTTGTATCTTGATGTTATTTCTAACACCTTTCTATTTACAGTACTTAACTTCAGTTTCTTTGGTTGTATCCTTAGTTCCGTTTTTTCCCACTGATGATAGGAACAAGAAAATCGATTCTGGGTTTTCAATAATATTTTTGTTATAAAATACACAGTAATACATGTCAAACAAGTAACGTAGTTGCGTGATGTCTGCGGCCTTCATCCTATTCATACCTATATTAAAAGAAATATTAAAATATTTCTTATTGTGCGCAAGCTCCACTGCAGCCACTTCATTAAATGGAAAACCTTACACACACCATCTTCAATCCAAGTGAGCGAGTCCAGGAACATTACCGAGAAGCAAGAGTCTGTGTACCGCAAAAGCCCTCGGGAGAGCACTACGCATTGCACCAACCACTACAACATCCATCCACAGCACCACTCATTCCCTTCACATCACCATCCATACTCGCAACGGAAATGTCATACGTGAACCGCCAGATAAGGGAGGCAATCCACATCTCCAGACGCCATCCTAAGGTGAACCATGATCGTGGTTGGGTGTTGCTGGACAATTGACAATGTGGGACTTTTTTTGGATGATGATCATTGTTACTGTTGCCACTGTCCTGTCCTGTTGTCATGTGTGCTTGTTCACGCCATTGTTATAATTATAGTTCAGCACAATGTTATAGCGTAAGTGCAGCTTGGCGACGGAATCTAATCTCTCCTTTTTTTTCTTGTCATAGTCCCACCACTAATCACACCTTGTTTTCAGGCACATTGGTATTTTTTTGTGTGTCTTTAGTTACACGTGTGTGGGTTTGGGTGTGACTTGGAGTGTGAGCTTGTCTGAGTGTGAGTGTTGGTGCGAGTGTGTGTCTCAGTGTTTTGGCATGTGCATGGGTATGTGTGTGTGTGTGTGTGTGCCTGTGCCGAAAGGATGGTGCAATTTTATCACGTATGGTGTAGTTTCGTTCCACTTTTTGTTGCCTGTTATAGGTCCACCTCACTTGTTTTTCTCCTCAATCCTGATGATGGCTCCTGGCCGAAAATTTGATTGAGAATTATTTTTGCAGCCAAGAGACCACTTGGATTGAAGATGGTGTGTGTGTGTGTGTGTAAGGTTTTCCATTTAATGATTTGATAATTATAATGCTTTTTTCCGGCCATGAACCGGCAGCTTTTCAGTTTGAAAAGCTACACTACGTCTACACTTTGGTGAGTTCGGTGTGTTGTGTGTGTGTGTGTTTTTCTTCTTCCTCAGTCATTTTTCTTTATCTTCTCATCATCTTGTTATTTTCCATGAAGCCCCGGATCTTTTTTTCACGCAGGGGAGGTATGTTAGGTACCTTCTCCTGTGCATTGCCTCCTTCTACAACCTTTCCTGTTGGTCTGTATGCACCCCGTACTTACCCTCAAGTACTCACCTCAGATGTGTTCCGTTGGCCTGGATAGCTACTTGCGTGCCCATAATTGCCATAGCTACCCAGACGGTAGACCCTATATCTTGCACTCTTTCTCACTCACTCTCTCCCTCTCCCTCGTCGTCACAATTTAGTCTTTCGTTTCGTCTATCGTCTGCCACAATAAATGTCTTCCTACTACCTACCTGTTCCTTGTTCCCTTGTGTACGTGGGATTATGGCAGAAATTGAGTTTACCCCCCCCCCCCCCCCACACACACACACACATGCTCTTGATGTTGCTTGATGTTGCTTGTTGTGTGAACTGTCACAATGCAGCTGCAGTGGGCTATGGAATGAAGACATGAGTGATGTATCTATAGCAGAAGATGATGATGATGATGACGATGATGATGGCGACAAAGAAGAACAAGAAGAAGAGGAGGAGGAGGAAGAAGAGGACAAGTTCACTACTTTGGAGTGGATTAAACCCCCATTACTGGACGCACAGCAAGATTTGGACTTCAACGCAGAACCTGCAGTATCATCACCAACCAAGCAAACCCAAGAAACGGTGTATGCCGTGGACAGGTTGCTGCCTCCATTGCGGGCCAGCTTGCAATGGAGAAGCGAGTTTTTGCCCGCCAGTAGTACAAGTAACCATCAGCTATGAATGCATGTATCAGCACACTGGACACATTATACCGATACATGTAAGTAAATTGTCTGCTTGAAACTTTTCACAAGCAAATTGATGCCAAATAGCTGAACTTGAACTGAAGACTCTTCAGTTCAAGTTCAGCTATTTGGTGAGATGCCGAGACACAATGCTTTGTTGTTGCTGCTGCTGCTGCTTCTACCACCAGTATTAGATTACTTTTCGAGGGTAGTCTTTCAACGGAACTAAATGATACTTCTTACCCAAACTTAATGCTAAAATTATTTTCTGAGTGCAGCAGGCGCGTAGCCCGCACGGGGCACGGGGGCACGTGAACCCCCCCCCCCCCCCCCTAAAATTTTCGACCTAGGTTCAGCATGCACATAATAGGGAGGTTTCGCTCAACGTAATTCCGTATGAAAATCCGTATGTGGTACACGCCGGGAGCGAGGGCAACTTTCATACGTAAATCTCTCTACGGATTTCCGTAGGAAAGCTCTTTCCTACGTTGGGTCCTCCGTACGACTTTGTGAATTATTTTTCGCATTTTCCAGACATATCCATGGCAACGTTCAAGCCGCGCGAAACACAAGGTGTACACACCGTACACCACGTGCAAAAGCGGTTACACCGTACACCACGTGCAAAAGCGGTTTCGGTTCGTGGTGCATGCGGTGGGCGCATGCAACCAACGCGTCTCCAAAGCAACAAGGCATGTTTAGCAGTCGTGGAGAAGTCAACAGCGCTGGTTTTTAGGTATGAAATTACGTGCAGTTCCTACGAATTTTCATACGTAATTCCGTAGAGCGAAACCTCCCTAATGACCATCAATGACATGCACCAGCCATCCTACACATAATATTATGCGACTGTGTACCCCCCCCCCCCCCCCCCCCCTCATGCCTGTTATGCTCTCAATCTTGTTCTGCTGGTGTATGAAGAAGCTTGAAGTGCCCTGGCAAGAGTCTCAAATCACAGGAAGCATGTACAGCATGTACAGTGTAGTACGCAAAGTCAAGGCTAAAATAAACAGCTCATCATACGGTTTGTGAATTGGGTGTTGCAATGTGCTGTGTTTGATACCCAAGCTCAAAGGCATTAGAATCGCCATGGCGCGATGATGTTGGGCATGGTGCCCGGACCCGGTTACAGAGAGTAAATGGCGGCAAAGGAAGCCTATCACAGCAAACATTGCATTGGAACGTATGGAAACGGAGAAAAATGCAATGCGGTGCATGTGAAAAAGAAGAATGCCCCATGCGATGGTATGAAACGGCTTAGAGCATGTGCTATGAGTTGAAGCAGCCGAATGTGAAGTGCTGGGCGGAATAGCGCTAGGATCAGAGGCACTAAGATATGTTTCGCCAAGAGTATAATTATTATAAGCTGACCAGAGTGCGCAACTCTGCATATGTGGTCTCCGGCGGCGAAAACTCACTTCACGCATTCCAGGTATGGTTCACACTAAGTACAACGGAGGCCAGCGTGCGAGCAGACCGATTTCTAGTAGTCTAGTATTGACCGTTATCATGCCAATGACTCCAATAAGCAGTGTAAGTTGAGTGGGCTTCTGTCAGGAAGCGATATTCTTATTATGCCACTGCTTGCTAAAAAAAGTGCTGGGACCGTACAACATGACCACTACACCACACAATGTGAGCTTTTGCCTTCGGCGAACCCCCATAGAAACAGTATCCCGAGTTGTACATTCTTGGGAACTTATGACCTCTTGGTTTCGCTTGCATACCAAGTTGCCAAGTTTAAAATGCGCTCAACTGCGTAGCGCGTGCATGCGGTGACGCTCAGTATAATAATTATACTGAGCATCACACACATGGCGCTAAGTTAGGGCGGCTCATATCCAAACCCGAAAATAAAAACGGCCTAGCCAATTTTGTTTGAACTTGCACAGCTCGTTAACCCTACGGGCCTACCAGACTATTGTGAGACCTGAAAATGGGAGCATTGGAACACTCCTTCATAGTTAGCCCAACTTGAAATTTCAGTATTTTGGGACAATTCGCACAAAACACATCCTAGCATGTGTTTCCTGTACCGTTGTAGAGTTCAAACTAAACGCTGTAGTTCTGTCTTCAGGTACCTAAGTGGTGATTTCTGCAGCCATGGCAAGCCAAATTAGGTGGCTGGGTTTTTTTAGTGCTCCTAGCTGCCAATCCTAGCAATGGCATTCAGGTTAGAACATAAATATCAGTGCTCTGCGGGGTGCTTGCGGAAATTGGCCGAATGGATTTTCTTCATTAATTTTCTTCTAGAAGTACAGCCATTTACGTGGTTCATTTGCTGAACATTAGATATTTCACCTTGGACCTATGTGAAGTACCGAGTACGCTTTACTAAGTCCAAAGTCGGCCGACACGTGCGGTGGACCAGGTACAGTTGCGCTCACTGAAATCCGACCCAAACTCGGCCAAAGTGCAAAGCTGGCACCCTCAACTTCCACGGTCCTTGATGCCCTGGAAATGGAATGAATGCGGCTGGGGGTACACATGTACACATACAATGATGTAATCGGAACTGGTCCAGGGTGCCAGCTTTGCACTTTGGGTCAGATTTCAGTGAGCGCAACTGTAGCTTTGGGAGCAAGTCCAGAAGTCAAGGTGCTTGTCAAGCACAGAATGATTATGTACCCTCCCTGGTCCCTATACAGTAGCACTACATTACAATGACGACATACAGCTGGACAAATCCAACCGCTTCCAAGCAAGGCATGAGAATCTGGTCCCCTTGGTTTCTCAGCCATGGCCTTAAACCATCTCACAATGCCCGCCCGCCTGCCTGCCTCAATAAAAAGCTGGATTAATTGATTGTAGTCTATTCACCTACTGAAGTAGAAGATTAAAGACCTGCACCACAGACTGCATTCTTAGCAATAAAGAGTGACCTACTACAAAAACCTACCTAACAGTTATATTTTTTTAAACACACACACATACAGAATTCTAGAACAAAAAACTATTTTAATGATGGTTGTCGCAGAGAGCAGCTAATGAGAATGAATGTCCAGGAGAGAGGAAGGTCCATTTAAGGCTTTAAAGCAAACTCCTTACAGCTGAATCAAGTTTCGCAGATAACGCAAGCAATGCATACAGGTACGGTGGTAATATGAGGTTGTCAATGTGGCCGGTGAACGCTTCCATGACTGCCACTGCCACCAACGCACCCACCACACACTGCCAGCATCCAAAGAAGTGGGTTGAAGCACTCTTATCTGTATGGCGCAAAGTAAGAAAAGAAAATTATGTTTCAGATACAGTAAGAAAAATTGCGCTTGTTTTGAGGGCTGGATGAACAGCGGTGCTGGCCGAGTATGAGTGACTGGAAACTGTTTCCCGTGTGCACCCAAGCCAAACTTGCATAGGGATGCAATGCACACCAGTATGACATGCTGCACATGCATTGTGTTTTCTGGTAGTAGTCCATACTGGACCATAGCGCGTTTTTCTCGAGGTGGCAATTGACATTGTCGACTGGGCATCGGGGGTTCTGTTCCTGCGGATTTTCCCAGGTCTTCATTGGAAACATCGGCAAATTGCGCGGGTCCTGCAGGTTGCTGAGCATTGCACGCTTCGGTTGAGGCTCATCCGACTCGTCCAAAATCTCCTTCGCGAGCGACTCCGCAATAAAAGTTTCAGCTCATTCACATCGTCAATATCGTTCAACAAAGGGTTTTCTTTCGTTTCCCAGTTCCAGATCAAAATGTTGGAGCGCATGACAGTTGTGGTTGCAAACAGTCACTCAGTTCTGCTTTAGTTATTTATTAGTCAGCTATTTTTTGATCTTGTTGGTTTTCTTTTTCGTAGTCGCTCTTTCCGTGCGATCCGGTGCCTAGTATTTTATGAAACACGTGGCAAGTAACCAGAACCAAAGACCATGAAGACTGAGACTCAGTCTCAGTCCAGTGGCTACTGCCCATCGTCAAGTGACGACGGGCAGTGTATCCAGTTCCATCACCTTTGAGCAGGCAGGACCGCGCTTTCCAGCCCGTGCAGTTTGATCTCTCCTTGGTCGACTCCAAGGCGACAATCACGTGACATAGAGGAAAGGGGCTTACTGGTTGGTATGCGTGCACATGTAAATTATTTTGTTGTCATGGTTAAACATTTCGGGCCCATCAAGAAAGAGTGAGCGCTTATTTGAAGGAGACAGTTAGATGCATGCCAGAATTGCTCCAATAAGGTCGATGGTAAGTGCCATAATCAGGTTACCTGTACTAATAATTATAGTTTTAGAGAAATGTTGACGTTTAGGTACTAGGGAGGTTTAGTCCCACGTAACGGATACGGGAACGTGGATGATATACGTAAAGTTCATGCAATGGACCCACGTACGCGATGTTGTGTTTAGTCACACGGATTCAAAACTTGTGAAAACAAGAAAAGTAAACATTTTATTTCAGGGCACAAACACGTTGGATTAGGGTTCGGGAAGAAACGAAAGCACTTCAAAGTGAGCTTGGTTTGTGTTTGTGTCGATTATGGGCGCTGTGACTCGGCGAACTTTCAAGACGAGCCATCAGGTATCGTGAGCTTGTTTGATTTCCAGCACGTCTATTTATCTGAATCCAAGTACTAGTGTCACGACCTTTTCCTTTCCCTGTGAGCCCTCGCACGGACTCAAGAACGACAAGAAAGACTTTGAAAAAGAAAAGTTCGAAAGGCCCAAAGACGAAGCTTCGAAGCTCATCGAATATTTTGATTTCGTGCTTCAAAAACTTCTTCAGCTGAGCACCCTCACCGCTTGCACAATGCGCTCCATTCTCATTTTCACTCGCGTTCTGGCGGAACGTGGGTGAGCCTCCATGCACAGTATGTCGTGAATCAGAAAACCGCTGTCCGTGGGTCACTGAGTATCACGTGGTATACACGTAAAGTACACGCGGATTACGTGGAACTAAACCTCCCTAATAACAAGCAATTCCTTCCAAATTACAGCCTACATAATATTGCAGCTGAGTAGAGTGGTAGAGAATGTTAGAATTTTCATTTGAGGTGTGAAGTTCAGAGCCAGGAAAGGCTTTAAAAGTAATCATTCCGGGAGGGGATGGTGGTCGGGGTTTGGGATGGCTAGAATTTTAGATTTTCTTCGATAGAAATTTCAGGCTTGTTTCTCCTTGCGCAAGCAGAAACAACACGAGTTCAGCCATCACCAAGCCAAAAAACCATTGCTGAACTCTGATTGGCTGAGGGTGGTTGACCAATCATTTCAGGTGTGAAGTTCAGAGCCAGGATAGGCTATAAAAGCAATCATTCCAGGAGCCAGGATAGGCTATAAAAGCAATCATTCCAGGAGGGGATGGTGGTCGGGGTCGGGGTTTGGGATGGCTAGAATTTTAGAATTTTCAGACGTGTTTCTCCTTCCGCAAGCAGAAACAACACGAGTTTAGCCATCAGCAAACCAAAAAAACATTGCTGAACTCTGATTGGCTGAGGGTGGTTGACCAATCATTTCAGGTGTGAAGATCAGAGCCAGGATAGAATTTTTGAATTTTCAGACGTGTTTCTCCTTCCGCAAGCAGAAACAACAAGAGTAAAGCCATTAGCAAGCCAAAAAACCATTGCTGAACTCTGATTGGCTGAGGGTGATTGAACAATCATTTCAGGTGTGAAGTTCAGAACAGGATAAGAAATCATTCCAGGAGGGGATGGTGGTCGGGGTTTGGGATGGCTAGAATTTTAGAATTTTCTTCGCATGGCACTATACCATACCATAGAAATTGACAACAGAATGGTGCACGCCAGACACACGCACGTAAGGATTCAGCATTCCATGAAAAACGTGTGTAACAAATCTGCAGGTTCGAAGCGCGGCGCATATTTCTTTACGGTACGACAGCAATGCCTGCAATGGGCGAGCCCTCTTTTGTCCCCCTGTTTGGCGACCAGGTCAGATGAGGATAGAATACATACTTGCCAACCCAGCCAAAGCAAATCCCTTAGTCACACACCCAGTTTCCCTTATTTTTCTCTCATTACTAGGGCTGAAACGGTTACACATTTGTGCTTTAACGGTTAGCTGTTAGCATAACGGTCGCTTAACCGGTTATAACCTATAAGACTGCAACATGGAAACTTCATTGTTTTTGACGCCATTTTCATGCCTTGTCTGAAGAATTTTCATGGTTCTGTACGAAATAGTCGAAAATAGGTAACATCCGCTGGGTAGCTGAAAAGTGGAGTGCACAATTTTCACCTTACACCTGAGGTCATAACTTTGGTGTCCTTCACTTGATTTTCACAATCTTGGGCTCCGTGGAAAGCTCCTGGTGAGAGCAAAGCGATGATACTAGGTTCCATCAAGCAACCTCCACATATCAGGCGCAGGAACACAGCGAAATCGTTTCCAAGCCCGATATGCAAGCAAATCCGTCCCATCAACGCCATTTCACTTTCTTCCATCGCAGAACGCACAAATATTTTGAGACGATTGAACTTCAGGCCGCAGGGAGTCGTCAAATACAGTAGGTATTTGACGACTCCCTGGTCACTAGTTTGTGCTCAGTCGCTCCAATTGGCCAAAGGCACGCAAAAAAGGATTTGTTTCACAAAAGGTGGTGATGAGTATCGATGGAAAATTTGAATTTGCAGAGATAAAAATTCGGCATGCGATATCTCTGGAGTCAGACATTGCAGATCTTCGGCGATTGTTGCAACGCAGAGCTCAGAGTTTCCGCTACCACGTAGAGCCTTCGATTGTTGAATTTGAACAAGAAATGACGGAGTTATGAAGGTTCCTATTTTTCGAAAAATGTTCGGAAAAATCGCTGCATAACCGTCGATCAAACGGTTATCCTTTTTTTTGGCCCTAAGGGGCCGTCCGTAAATATCGATGTTTTTTTAGAGACGATATTGGTGCGTCTGGGGGGGAGGGGGTTTGAGCCATGTGCGTCTTTTCGAGCATCAGAAAAATATCGATGTAAATATCTGAAGTTTCGCCGATCCCTGCACGCGGACGTCTAAATGGCTATACAAGAAATGTGAAACCAGCTTCCGTTCGCGGAGCTAAAACTCGCGACACAGGAACAAAATCAAAAATTGGAAGCTGTACGCCCATGGCGAATTTCAAGAGCAAAAGAATGAGCTATTGATTGTGGAAATCGGCCGAACGATGCCTGCAGGAGACCTTTTTCAAGACGTAGAGGCAGTGCGAACAAACACGGACGAACTCCACAAGAGTTTCCAGTCTTCACTGTCTGAACAAGGATTTGAAAAAATTCAAGCCCGAGCGTAGCCGCTTTGGCTACACCAGTACACGATGTCTGTGAGCACTGCAGCGCCAACCCGGTTCGCTCCCCCCAGGCCAGGCGATGCAGCTATTGCGTGAGTGCGGCGGGATTTTCACGCCTACACCGGACCCTCAACATCCTGGGCACTTCATGAGCATCCAAAAATATTGATTCCATGATCTAGATGTACATGTGCGTCTTCTGGGGGGAGGGAGGGGGGTCAAGGGAGAGAAGCACCAATATCGTCTCTAAAAAAACATCGATATTTACGGACGGCCCCTAAGGCCATGGTAAAAATTATCTTTGATTCTCAAGTACGCGCGCACCGATTTTTGGCGGCGCACCGACGATTTTTTTATTTCTATGCATGCATATGCGCGCATGAAAACAGTCAATGCGAAAGGCATGAATCAGGGAGTAGTAAAATACCGGTATTTTTCTACTCCCTGTCCTGAATAATAAAACGAGAGAGCTTGGAAGCTCAGGGCCCTACGCTATGCTTTTTTGCCTTGATGACCTAGACAAAAAAAAGCATAGGGATGTTATAAATTCTTTAAAAAAAATCCTTTTTTTTTAAGACATAACCTGGGATTCGAACCCGCACTATCGCGCGCCCTGCATGCATCCCCCGATACACTTCGCATACATACTAATTCTTCCAAGTTGTTTCACATTGTGATCTTGCATTTGAAAGCCCTATTTGAATAATGCATTGTGGCCAGCCGTCTTTGATGGCACGGTACGGTAGGGGATAGGTACGGGACAGGTACGATCGAGGGTAATACGACACCGTCTCCCGTACCGGACCGTACCATCAAACACAGCTGGCCACATACAGCTGCCCGCAATATTCAAATAGGGCTTTCAAGCGCAAGATAATAGCGTGAAGCAACTTGGAAGAATGGGTATGAATGCGAAGTGTATGGGGGAATGCATGTAGGGCGATAGTGCGGGTTCGAATCCCTTGATATGCCTGAAAAAAAGGAGAATTGAAAAATTTATAACATCCTATGCTTTTTTGCCGTCAGATACGGATAGCGCCAGGCGTGACACAAACAAACAAACACACAAACACACAAATACCAAACGAGAGAGCTTGGAAGCTCAGGGCCCTGCGCTATGCTTTGTTGCCTAGCTCATCGTGCATGTTGTTAGAACTGATGGAAATGCTTTTTCCCTTGATTAGCTACATCATTGTATTGCAAAAACGTTTCCATGAGATACTGAAGTACAAGTAACGCCTTCTGCATAGCTATGGGACCGGCGCTGACTCTGCCGATCACGGGCGTTCTGGAGTCGACGGGATGTCTGTCCTGACGTTTCCTGGGACCGGCGCTGACTCTGCCGATCACGGGCGTTCTTCTTCTTCTTATTATTATACTGACGGCAACTAACATCCATTCTGATTGCATTTACTCGTCTCCCTACTTCGTATTTTTGTTCAGAAAATCTCCCCATACAGCAGGGAGTCGTTTACATAATATGACTCTCTGCTGTGCGAGGTGAATAGCAATTTCTGGACATGAAAATAAAATAGAGGCCCACTGGCCGTGTGTTTTACATTTTTCATATCTTTTTGTATCTATTGTATGGCCTAATCCTTCATCTTTCCAAATATGTGACAATTGCTCATGCTGTGATCCCAGAGACTTTATAGCGGGATGTTTTCGACAGGCCAATTGTTTGGCCTAAATTTCAGTGTATGGAATTCTGGACATGAAAGTAAAATAGCGTCAATAGGCATCCTATACTGCACCATTTTTGTTATTTTTTCGATTGATGGACTGCAGTTGGCCTCTTCACACTTCCAGCCAACAGGTCCAAGACTATACAGCGTCTGAAGTGGAGTGCACATGGGGAAGCCAACGATTCGTCCATTACTTCTTATTTTACTAAAAATTCAAAATTCTCATGCGACATAGTACCACAAAACTCGTTGAAATGCCTCCCAAGAAAAGGCTATCAACAAGGCACCGACACGAGGAGAAACTACAACAGCCCAGCTGTCAACTACAACAAGAAAAAACTTCATCAACCTGACTGACTTGACTCTACACGCGACGAAAAATTATTTTACTCGAAATGTCCAGAAATGTACAATGTCCAGAAATAGCAACTCACCTCGTATGGGGAGATTTTCTGATTGCATTTACTCGTCTCCCTACTTCGCATTTTTTTAAAGAAAATCTCCCCATACAGCAGGAAGTCGTTTACATAATATGACTCCCTGCTATAGATCTACATGACTGTATATACGTTATAATTACTCAATCTGATACGTTATAATTATTATGCTATCAGCCTACATGCGATCCCCGGGCTGGTCGACAGGCGGACCAGCCAGCCTGCTAGTGGGTTCTCGGCCTCGCACACAAATCCACACAAAATGTTACTGCACTGAATGCATTCCCCCGATACACTTCGCATATATACTCATTCTCTTGATGGTACCGTACTCTTGATGGTACGGGACAGGTAGGGGATAGCGCCAGGTATGTCGATGGCACAAACAAACAAACATATAGTAGCCAGCTGTCTTTGCTGGTACGGTACAGTACGGTACAGATACGGGATAGCGCCAGGCGTGACACAAACAAACAAACAAACAAACAAACACCAAATTAAAGCTGTGTGGACCCTGGCTAGCGCCAGACGTTACTGAAGTAACGTCTTCTGCATAGCTACGGGAATTAAAGCTGTGTGGACCCTGGCTAGCGCCAGACGTTACTGAAGTAACGTCTTCTGCATAGCTACGGGAATTAAAGCTGTGTGGACCCTGGCTAGCGCCAGACGTTACTGAAGTAACGTCTTCTGCATAGCTACGGGAATTAAAGCTGTGTGGACCCTGGCTAGCGCCAGACGTTACTGAAGTAACGTCTTCTGCATAGCTACGGGAATAAATTTAAATAATTATATGAACCTGTGACGTACATATGTGTGCATGTGACCCTATCTTTGGAAGTAAAAAATGTGGGAAATAAAATAAATAATCGCTCGCTCGCACCGATTTTCACAGGCTCATGACCTGAGAATCAACTTTATTTTTTACCATGGCCTAACAGTTACATAACCGGTTATTCGTAATAACCGTTTCAGCCCTACTCATTACCCTTATTTTGCTGGTTTTGCCAATTTTGGCCATTTTCTCCTTTTTTGGGCAATTTTGAGTACTTTTGCGAATTTTTACGCAATAGTTTTCTTTCTTTTTATTCATTTCTAACCCATTGCTCATTGGGGGACCAAAACCTGAGTTTCTTCATTATCATATCGCCCCTACATGTGTGATTCTGTGAAATGCAGGGCCGCATGTGCCCTTGTCACACCACAAAACAACCCTTGTTTTGAACACTCGTGGTTCAGTGCCAATTCCGGTAGGTTTTCGATCAAAGTCAAAAATACCTGGTATGCCAGTAGTTACCCTAGTTTTCCGGTATTATACCGGGAAACCGGTATGGTTGGCAAGTACTAGTATGAGTATAAAATAATTTGATATCATAGAAGTGATTTCTGATCATGTTCCTGAGGCAACAGAACGAGTGATGGCTGGGTGGCGATCCGTTCCGGAAAAGTTGAACATCAGCCAGGCAAAGTCAATCAATTGTGTCGACTGCACGCCTTTTATCAGGTTTTTATTAGCCATAAAACCTCGGCCTCAACCTTGTTATATACGTAAAGATCATACCGTAAATACTTGTCCCCAGATGCAGTGGTGTAATAGGAACTAGTCCAGCGTGCCAGCTTCACATTTGGATCGGATTCACCTGGCGCAACTGTGGTACTCTTGGTCTTAGCATAGCATATGTCACACCAAGAGTACATAACCCCCCAGAGTGTGCAACTCCCACATACCCTGCTGTCCCGACAGAATTTCAAGTTGACGTCATTATTTATGACGCAATGCTCCTTGCACCAGTGATTTACAACATGTGTACGGGTGTCAACGCATCACACGTTTTTCTTTGCAATAATTTGTACAGGATCGATCGGCTTCGGTCAACCACAGGTTCCGGATTCTGATAATCCGTGTACAGTGCACATTGCATCATAAAAATGACGTCAACTTGAAATTCTGTCGGGACAGCACCCATAGTGGAGTTGCACACTCTGGGGGGTTATGTACTCTTGGTCACACTGGTTCACATGGGTATTTGACTGTGTCATTAAAGGTGAACAATGCACATGTATTTCCCATAGGAGTTGATGAAGAACTTGAAACTCAGAATCACAAACCCATCAATATAGTATCTTACCAACAAGTGAAATGGCATAGCATGCTAAGAGTTGAGCAGTTAGAAATGCTAGGCTTCCTTCAACAGTCTTGTGTAATTCTACAGGACAGAGGTGAGAAAGAATGGAAAAAGCACATGCATGTACTCATGAGTCAGAAAAATATAAAAATAAATCATCTCGTAAGCACATGCTACGACACAAGGACTAATAAACACATGCTATGTACGGCACCAGCACTCCTTAACATATGCTATGTACGATACAAGGACTCACAAACCAGTCCAGTCAAATGTCACTTATCATGCTGCCAGTCATCCAAGCACGTTGGATATCCAACATGCCTCTGAGTGGTAATTTCATGACTCTATGGCAGCAGATGAGTGTAGTGGGCACACCACAGAGATGTGCAGTTATCTCTAAGTGGCTGGTTCGAGACCGGTTCGAATGACTTCCTCGCACTTTATTTTAGGGGTCAAACGGGTGTACCTTTAACTAACGAACGGGTAATTTTCTTAACGGGCGGGTTAACGGGTACCCTTTAGCAGCCATATTATTTTTTTGCGCATTTCTCACATAAATCATGATTTTAATTTGTATATCCTCAGGTTGTATTTTGATACTACATTATGATTCGTGTATCAAAATATTATTATGGCAACGAAGATTCCAAATGAATGTCATCCGTGCATTTGCCCATGTACATAACTTCACAGGCAGTAACTTACAATCGTACATGTAGATGGTCCTACAAGCTACATGTATTTTGATACACTACGCAAATCAACTGCAGATCGATGTGATTCAAGCCATGCAAGGACAGAGTGGTTTAGCAAAACTTCCGTGATCTCGCGCAATCCTATTTGCTATGTTCGCGGAGAACTGGTGCTCGTTGCATTCAGAAGATGTTCGCGCCCATAGCTAGCTGGGGTGCCTGACACAGCTGATGTGCTGCTGGCCAGCTAGCTGCTAGTGCTAGCTTGTTGAACTCGTGAAATGAATCTTCACAAATCCGTAATCTTGTATGCAATATTTCGAACTACTTTTCAGCTCGTCGATTGAAGGAACAAACTACAACCATGAGTATCATACATGTAGCTACCACCTACGGACATCACCGTTTGTGACACTCCGACTGGTCACTCAGCCTGGTGACACTAGTTCATCAAGTACTGTGGCAGGTTCGATGTCGGAGAACCATCGTAACTTTCTAGTTACTCAGCTGCCACCTCGAACGAGTTTCAAGTCTTGCATTTTCTCACATCACAATGAAAAACCTCCAGTACGAGGATTTTTACTTGCACTAGAGTGGAGAGAACAACTGTCAAGTCTGTCTTTCAGCCTGCTCCTGCCTGATAAAGTCGAAAGCGGGAATGCACAGGAAAAAGGAAAAGAGTATCCGCACTCCTATTTTGAGTCTTGGAATACGATAGGATCACCTTTTTTTTTTTTTTTTTTTTTTTTTTTTTTTCTTTTACAAACGGGTACCCTTTTACTAACAGTACCTGAGATTAACGGGCGGGTACCCGGGTACCCGGTACACCCGTTTGACCCCTACTTTATTTCCATAATTATAAGTTTTCTGTTTCTGGCTACCATTGTACAGGTAGACTCCCTTTAATTCGAACCTCAAATCGCCAGGCCCTAACTTCGAATTATCAGGAACTTCGAATTATCCATATGCAGCCCCATGCACTGATATTTACATGTCAAAATGCTCGAAATCGCGTGCTGATTATTTTCGCACATTTTACTTGATCGCCACGTCATTTGACATGATATCTTCATCTTCTACGATTTGTAGCGAAGAAGTTAGTTGTCTGGCACTGCAGCTGCCCTGAAACATTTTCAACGGAAAGAACAGCACCGCCTAATCCTCGTCATGAAAGGCCGTCGATAGCAGCACGGCGTTCTGAAGAATGGAAGCGGAGCACAGGCATCGACGATTTTTACGACTTCCAATCAATAGTGTTGTTCGCAAACATCTCTGCGCACGAGCTGGCGTGGCATGAAAGGCCGCTGAGATCCCCGAACAGAGTCAGCCACCTGGAAGAAGTCGTCTTCAATCAAATCTTTGCACTTTGTCTCTCATAGGCTTGAATCAAATTTCAAGAGAAGGTGGGTTTCTTGAACGCTATTGCCGATCCTGGAGCGGACCAGGGAGGATCGATTTTTGAGCTACTCTTGGCTAGAGAAGAAAATTATGAACTTCGAATTACAATTATAGCAAGTCGATCTCACTTCGAAATAAGCATTCGAAGGACATTATCACAATGTACTGTAAACTGCTCTTCTGTACGAAGAATGAGTTCGAATTATCCAGTCGGCGCACTCTTCGTACTTCGAATTATGCATTTGAATTTGAGTTGAAGTGACTTGCAGGAGATCGAAAAAGTTCGAATTACATGGAATGTTCGAATTATACCATATTCGAGTTAGAGGGAGTCTACCTGTATAATGTACATTTACTTAACGTAGATGTGATCCAGTATTTCAACGCTTGACATGCACAAAATGTGAATGAATAAGAGTCCAGTTGTTGAGTGCATGTACATAAACCCGTGAAATCATACCATTATGCTTCTTACACACCAAAAAAGAAGATGTCAAGTTATCCAACATGCCCAATTCCCGAAGTGGTCGGATAAGTGACATCTGACTGTACCACAGTGCTGGGGGGGGGGGGGAGTGCCCCCCCCCCCCCACACACACACCACCTGTATTTCTCACCTGGGAAAGGGCTATGAGTACCACTGCATGATCCTGGGATACAATACTGCACTGCAAGAACTGCTTGCAAGTGCGTGAATGCTTCATGTCCTTTTAAAGGGGAGCTGTCACCAAAAAATTTCTTCGTCTTATCTTGTAGTTCCTTGGCTCCTGATCATGATGGTGTTACCCGTTTTTCTCTGCGATGGCTGGAAGTGGGTGAAAACTTGAAAGTATGTGCCCAAAATTGTCCCGAAGTACCGAGTGACGTCACGCCGGACTTGACCACCACGCGTACATTCGTCGTCAAAAACGAAGTCCAGCCCGTGTGCTGGTCGATCGAGCTAGCTGTTCCGATGTACGGTGCACGTGTGCCTTTTGAACTCTAACACAGATGGGTACGTCGTACAGAAGGAGAATGCCAAAGAGGCAGAGACCCACGTGCAGCTACACAGCCAAATCAAAATAAAAAGCAGCTGAGCTTTCACCTTTTTGACTTCTTCCGCGAGGATCTAAGTTCTATTTTGTGAGCACGGAAGTACGTCGTTGTTTTGAACTTTTCGTGTGAGGAACAACACGATGATGAGCGCGTATGCAGAAAACAGTACTCCTCCGGCCGGCGATAACACCACCAACCCGAGCCCCAAAGGAACGCAATGTAGCTACGTGAAGGCAATTTATCTGGCGATGTTGCTGAAGATGCAGATAACAAACTCCAACGTCTTTCATTTCAGAGCTGGGTGGGCAACAACGCCACCTTCGATACAACGACGTAATTTTCAAGTACGAGGTATGTGTGTCACACTAACAGCAAACAAACATCCTTCCACTCCTTCGTAATCACAACTAAACAAAGAGCTGGAGCTTCGTGGAGGAAGTACCAGTGGGACAAACTGCTGTCGACTTGTGTTTGTTTTGTCCCTTTTTGGCGTTCTCATTGTGTACAACGTACACATCAGTACCCGAGTTCAGAAGGCAAGCATGCACCGTACATCGAACAGTTGGCTCGATCGACCAGCACACGGGCTGGACTTCGTTTTTGACGATGAATGTACGCGTGGGGGTCAAGTCCGGCGTGACGTCACTCGGTACTTCGGGACAATTTTGGGGACCTTCTTTTCAAGTTTTCACCCACTTCCAGTCATCGCAGAGAAAAAAGAATGACACCATTGTGATCAGGAGCCAAAGAACTACAAGATAAGACAAAGAAAAATTTTGGTGACAGTTCCCCTTTTAAGTAGCGTTTCGTCACACTTGGTAAGACATGACACCGCTAGTGAAACAATTCAAGTAGCCATACTTCTGAAGACAAAACTCCAAATGTAAGGGGCCTCAAGCAGCTAGCTGCACCTATTACAATGGTATCTTCTGTCATGAGACATTGACAAAAAGCCTTGTTTAGTATGAATAAAGGGCTGAATTTTTGTGGAATTTCACACTTTTGTCTCCAAGAAAGCACTGGACATTTCATAAGGATACACAACAACAACAAAGCAGCTCACTTGACCATTTAAGCCGGCCCCAACGCATCCCACAAAGACTAGCTGCACTGTCTCCAAATCCAAGTGACAGAACACCAGCATAAGTGGCAAGTTTCGGTGCTGCATGTCAGAAATAAGAAAACAGGCAAACAGAGTAGCAGTAGTCATGACAACACAAGTTTACCAGTATACTTCCGCTAAAGTTAACTGACACTTGGTGCTTTTTGCATAATCACCCACTGCCACCTCAAACTGAAACAGTCGCTACACTGATAGTGTTGCAGGGATCGATTTACTTTGATTTTTTTTGCATAGTAGTCACTGCTACACAGTTTTACAATTGACTAGCAACTCCAAGTATTGATTAGCAGTCTTCCTTCATCAAAAGTGTACATGTATATCTGTACAATAGCAGGATTTTGTACAGAAGTGGACAATAGCTGCAGTTGCTATTTGCTTTTCCAAGCGAACGGTTGACATGAATATTTACGTTAGGGTTTTCGCTTGGGCTTGTTACATGTTCAGCGTCCATCCGACTTTGAGTTCTTCACAACACAGTATCCTTCAACAGGGCAGTTCCACTGATTCCTTCGACAAAGAAAGCTCAGGAAAGCGCGCAAACGATCGTGACATTCCGTGCAAAGTGTACAGAATTTTCGATTTTCTCCATCGAAACGAATCGACATTCCTGGCGCGTCCAGTTCTTTTTCCCACTTCTGGACAGTGATCAGATTTACTGACATGTTGGCTACATGAGACTAAGAACCATCTACTTCAACTGTGTCTTGTCGAACACAAGCAAACTGAATTGAGCTTGACAGTGAAAGAAGAAAGGAGAACTTCAGGGAAAGTTGCCGCCGTGTACAAAACTTCAAAAGACTGCAGTGCTAGTGCAGTGTCCAAAATCATCCAGAGCGCCCCGCGCGCGGACTGAGCAGGACAGGCCAGTTGGTTGGAGTAGTAAAATACTACTCCCTAGTCAGTAGTGTGCACAACAGTCGCATATAAACTGCACACAATCAGTACAGAATGGTCTTTGTACATACCGGTATGCATGGCCAGTGCATCGCAGTTTTGGGCGATAAAAAAACGAAAAGCGAATCGCAGCCAGTGAATTTTGATTCGCAAACTGCGATGCGAACCCGGATAAATCGATCCCTGGTGTTGGAACTGCGTATGGTGGATGTGGAGATAGATAAAAAAAACATACGAACAATCGATGATGATGGAAAACCTGTGTCTGTTTCAATCACAAAGGAAACAAGTCCAGAGAAAGAGAATGTGGATACTGATGCATGCCTCGTACACGTGGCACAGAAAAGAAGTGAATCACCATGTTGCCCATGTTAACATCTGGCAAATTTCGGCCTTTCGTGCGCTTGTGCCACTGATTCGAGAGATGTTGCCACATCGACGGTGATCAGTTAATTAACTTAATTTGGCCAATGTTCCCAAAAGGGAACATATAAAAGTGTCTCCCCCGAACATCGGAGCGCGTGCTTCCTGCCGACTGACTTGACACTTGGCTGACTCACGACTGCGTCTGGAGCACACGACAAGCCCGTATTGTTGTCCCTCGTGCGGGAATGCGACTAGATGGTTGGAGGTGACAGCGTTGCGAATGGCAAATGGCCCTCAACGTCTGCTCTCACAACTCCATGTGCGACACTGACTCGCGCTGCTGCCTGGTGCTCACGAGGTGTTTGTTGCGCTGGAAGCGGAACGTCACTGCAAGTTGGTATCCCAAGTGATGTTTTGGCTCGGAGAGCACTACATAATGCAGTGTCTCTGAGCAGAAATTTCCTCTTATTGTTTGAACCGGCTCTGCCTCTCGGTATTGAGCACTCTCTTGGACAGCCTGGAACCTCCCTGTTTTATAGATAGATAGATAGATAGATAGATAGATAGATAGATAGATAGATAGATAGATAGATAGATAGATAGAGAGAGAGAGAGAGAGAGAGAGAGAGAGAGAGAGAGAGAGAGAGAGAGAGAGAGAGAGAGAGAGAGAGAGAGAGAGAGAGAGAGAGAGAGAGAGAGAGAGAGAGAGAGAGAGAGAGAGAGAGAGAGAGAGGATGAAAAGAGACAGAACGAACAAAACTAACCTGAGTTGAAGTGACTCAGAGGGAAGGCAAAGCATGGCACTGCAAATCCCACCAGCAAATAAATGTGAGTCAGTATAGCATTGCCACAGTCACGGCTGTCCACGAACGGACGCAAGTACTGATCCAGTGTTGTCCCAATCGGCCAAACTCGCAGTGAACGAATATACTTGTGAATGGAAAGAAAGCAAAAGAGGAAAAAGGTTGGCTGAAGATACCTTGCAAATACCTTCTTCAGCTTTCCCTGTAAAGAGAGAGCTGCTGCTGCCATTAAAAAAATCCCACACCACACAGGAAATCAAAATACGACACAGGAAGTCGCGACAAACTCGGCAATTAAACGTAAACATAGCTCGCTGTACCACTTCAGACTGCGGCGCTAGTCTGCCCACTCTATTTGCAGATCGCCGCCATAGCAAGGACAAATCCGTAAAGATTTTGAAATGTAAGTCCCTCTAGACAGCTGTTTCGCTTCTTGAGAGATCATCAGTAGATGTTGAGTGAATTGCGTCCTGTACACGAATACGAGGTACAATGGAGGGTGAAAGATCGCACCAGGGTCTGCACGAAAATTATGAAGCAGTGTCCACTCTGCATCACCAAAAAGTGCCACATACTCCCCACGCTGAGATCAACAGCGTTCCTCAAAAAGCAATCACAACTCATCTCAAAGTGCCGGCGAACAGGTACTTTCTTCTGACTCAGAAGCCACAACGACACCACCTAGCTAACAGAATCAATGCAGCCTCTCAATCGCAACACCAGGCAAGCCACACATACACACACACACTGTTCAGTTGCAGCCTGCTTTCTACGACATCTGTCTGGTTTCGGCTTCGAGTGTGCTTTGTAATCCCTCCTCTCTAGTTATGATCAATGCCATTGCAGTCGTTCTCTGTGCTTTGACCTTAGCGCCTTGCACCATACTATACCAATTGTGTGCTCCGCTTGCGTACGCCTCAATGCCTCATGCCTCATGCCACTTCGTATGTGAATATCGTGCTCGGGCCTCAGGCTCCGCTGGGCTCAGTTGCGCCTGAGCCTGTTTTGCAGAGCAGTTCTTTGTTGGGTTCTTATGCATATGGAAAGAAGCTTTTTCGTGGTGCCTTTTCTTGGCTGTGCTGTGATAAATTAGGAGTGATTGGCTGTTCGTGGGCAACAGTCCGTTTCAAAATGATTAGCAATCCTAGTGATCGCCCGGGAAGTTTGCCGTCTTACCGTATGAGCTGCCTGGAAAAACTCGCTGTGAACCAAAGAAATATTCCGTGTGAAAGCATGAAAAATGACCAACTCACTCACGTAGGTACGTCTGGTTTTACAACAAACAAGTTCTTCCTCGATATGGAGTCACAGAGGGCATGTCGAAAGCGTGGTAAATGTTGAAGATCGCCATGGGTCCCGTTTTGTCATCAAACAGTTTCTTTGAGCTGCAATGCAATTTACTCTCACCATGGGACAAAAACGACATAGACACAGACTCATTCTCAAGGCCATGATCCGGCCAAGCCATCCGTGTGACTTCGACGACTTTTGAGAAAAGCAGACGCCTGTGAAAGCTGATAGAAGACGGCGCCGACTCTTAAATTCAAATAAATTGGCGATCGTGAAAATACTAAAAATATTCTCTGCAAGAAGTCGATTGATCGATGTGCCGGTGTATTCAACACGTAGCTACAGCTGACAGTGCAATGACTTCACTCACACCGTTTCGACATACGTGAGCCAGTCCAGTGTCAGTGCAGTTGGCAGGAAGCGCAAGCTCCAACATTCGGAGCAGCCACCTTCTTGAATCTTATACAATCATGTACCAGCTTGATCACCAATACAATGAAAAAAGTTGGAGTTGAAGATAGGTTGAGATTTGAACCTACAACTTCATGGTCAGCAGACAGCATTCATAACCACAAAGCCAAAATGGCGTAGAAAATCATGGGTTTTTGATGAAAAGTCGCTACTGGCTTCCAGGGCAAAAATTCTAAGGACGCGGTCACACCAAGCGCGATTCAGCCATTCAGCGAAAAAAGCGCTTTTTGACGTCTTCGTTGCTACAGAAACAGCTGAATTTTCGGCTTCAGCCGTTTTCAGCAGTCAGCCGTTTTCAAAGCGCTGAATGGAGCGCCGAATGGATTCAGCCACTTTCAGCCATTCTGGCGCAGTGGCGGGAAAAACAAAATCGTGCAAATCCAAAGCACATCTTGCCATGGATGCATCGTGTTCTAAAATATTCCGGCTTTCGTTGTTTGTTTCGTTCTTGGTCCAACTTCTCTCATTGCCTGCTGTCTGTTATTGTCCTCATCTTTCCTTGTGCGCTTTCTACGAGGTTCGATTTGGTCCGGCAGCGTCAGACAAGGGAGACTATTGTGCGATAGAAGCATGCGCACCATGATATCGGCGCAGAGCAAGATCCAGACAACGGCACAGAGTCTAGTTTCAGGATCCATGGCTGCACTACAAGCTCAAACCCACCTCAATCTTTCCAACAATTACTCTGATTCCAATGAAGCTCCCAGTACAGTACCAAAACTCTGCTGATTGCCACGTACATGTTCAACAGAAAATAAAAGTTAATTTAAAAATTCAAAAAATCAAATTCAAAATTGGACGCGAAGAAAAACCTCTACAGCACGCGAAAAAAGTCAGCGAATCATATGGGTCGATGTGACCAACCGCTTCATTCAGCACAAGCCACTTTCAGCGCAAGCTGAAAACGGCTTGTTTGGTTGACCGCGGCCTAAACCATGGGAAAGAGACAGAAACCTAGCCGAAATTCCAACTCCTTAACGGCTGTTCCAATTGTTCATAAACCTTTACAGAACAATTTGATGTCTGATTGCTAAATTTTTCGAAATGCACTATAGAAAAATTCAAGTCTTCTGCACTCTTGTGAGAGCTTGAGTCGTAGGCCAGACCACACACAGTGTAACACCCCCAACACTGCAACAGATCCAGCCATCGCCCCCAATAGGAGAGTCCTAAAGCTCACACAATCTCACAGTCTGATGCATACACGCATATACACACACACACACACACACACACACACACACACACACACACACACACACAGATTTTCCCAACCCAGCCCATATTCAGCTCAATAGGGACCTTTCGCACCACGCGTACGGATACGAAACGAATGCTGATTCGTCACCTGGGTTCGAGGATTCGTCAGAGTCGCCGCGGAGAGCTCGTTTTCACGAATGGAAGCCTCTTCATTCGTGGCACGCTCCGAATCCGTCAGGTACACATTTTTTGCAAGGTACACATGTTTTGCCAGCTATATACACATTTTTTCCCTTGATTCCATGATCCATGCACGTGTGCGCGAACACACGTGTACACCCGTACCCCAAGCTACCGGCCGTATTCGTAGTTGCCATGCACATTTGCATTACGACTTGCGAAACCTGAATTCTGTTTTCAACGAAACGATTACGAGCCGAATCAAACTTTCGTTTCGCATTCGATTCGTAGCAAATGCGAAAGGTCCCTAATATGCAATGCTAACTAAACACCCAGGACCACTGACATCTAAATATCCAGCCTGTAAACCCCTATGAACTTTGTCCACTGTTGGATATGCTGACCATGACTCTTGCACTGCCGCTGCCAGGTCTGACACTGTCTTCTTTGCCACCATCTGACATCAGATTGCAGGCTTGCAAAAGGATGCCAGGTTGTTGCAGTTCAAACCTGGCGACTGAGCTGGCTGGGTGACCAAGCAAGCAAATCCTTTCTTGGCTCCGTGCCGTACCCAATGCTGCCGGTTTGACTTGGTGGTTGTAGGCATCGCGCCATCGTGCTGGTAGAACAAGGGCTGCCCAGCTTCAGGAGTCCCAGCACCAAGACGGAACAACCAAAACTTCTCTCGCATCGCATCGAAAACACCGTTCTTCTTCAGCATGACGCTCATACTTCTCTTCCGTGCACGCATAACTGTGAGGCTCGGCCAGGACGTCAGTTTCCCCTGCTACAGACTAGTTTCGGTCTTCGGGTCGCTGCGCTTGACTTTTCGCAGCATAGACATAACAGTGAATGGCCAAATCCACACTTCCCCATAAAAAGTCGTACACATCGCGATTCAACTCGCGGTGGTCACGATGATTTTTCTTTGTTGTCTCCTTTGACCTTGCCATCACAACCTCCCATACAAAAGTGAGTCAGATATCGCGATCGGACTGGGTTTTAACTGTCAAAACGTGCGTGGGAGATAAGCGACAATTGTGATGAGCCGGACCAAGTACAAATGTGATAAAGCCGGTGCTCAGGGCTGTAACATGCAGGCCGGCCAGCGTCAACAGGTGGCCAGAGATGGTGAGGAGGAAACAATCACTCTAATTGACGTTTGATTACCATAAGTATATGAATGTATGGTAGCAGCAGGTGAAACCCCCGGATGTATACTTGCAGTATCAACAGCAGCGGGGCCATACAAGGTAATCAAAATCGGTTTGAGGTGCTGAAAGTGCACAAGAGTCCGGATTTCACAAATGACACAACTGTACCGGTACATGTATTATGACCATGGTGACGTGTCCGGCTGGCGAGAGAAACAGAGGATGACCACATAGGGAACAAGCCATCAAACATCCAGTAGCAAGATTAAGATTTTTAGTTACTCTCTTTACTCACCTCAAGGATGACAAACAGCATGATAGCTATGCCGCTAGCAAAGATCATGAACTCTTGATCCAGCACCAACCCAGGCAGAAAGACAGCCACCGCCAAGAAATGGAACTTCTTGCGTGACATCATTAGCTGAAACCTAAAGCAGGTACACACAAACACGAATACACATCCAGTGTTGTCATTTGCGGTGTATATCTGGTAAGTATATGTTTCTGTCAGCCCATGCTGACAATCCTACAGGCATGGCTACAACGCAGTTTGCAGTGTTATGGACATGATAGAAGCATTGATTTACCAAGTTCCCTGCCTCGGAACGTGTTTCTATCATAATTTAAAAAAGGATAACTCATGTCAAATTTGTACTGCAGGCAGGACTTTTTCCGCAAAAAAATACGTTTAGGATATTGACCAAGATGAGGTCTATATTTCCCATAAACACTCGGCTTCAGGGTTTATTGACTTTATTCTATACACATTACGGCGATATGGGTAATATAGCACCAGTCAAGGATCACAAGAATTAGTAGAGGGTGATATAGAAGAGTGATAAGTATAGATTATAGACCGGCTAGGAGGTCTATACAGGATATATGGACCGAGTTAACGACCGAAGTCCCCCAAGGTCTTTTTCGAGGCAGGGCACCGTTGTTATTGATCCGAGAGTCCCCGCAACTCCCCGGGTTCCCCTCAGATGTGTACGGTATTACGAAGCAAAGGTCCGATTACGCTCGACCAAGACCCTATGCAGAGCTGGATCAGGCGTTGCACACTCTGGGGGATCATGTACTCTTGATATAAGTGGTCAAATATAATTGCGTATTTATAGACCAAGCAGTCAAATGACCGCTTAGGTATCAGGGAAATTAGTGGGGTCTAATACTAAGAAGCCAATAAAGACAAATACGGGTGTTTCACAACACTGCACACCATGAATGCTTATAGAAGTAATGGGCTGAAGTCCACATTCCAATAGTTTTCTTACAGTCCTTCCAGATATACTTGACTGTCCCCTAGGAAAATCGCGATTCCGCAGCCGCGGCAAATTCCGCGATTTCCCTAGGTTTCCGCGAATCAAACAGTATCCCTGCAGTTTCTTCCTTTTTCATTGACTTTCAGTCAATCCATGAGCCCGACTGGTAGGCTGTATACCGGTACAGTGCATGTGTTCTGTGCGCGTACATAACATGGTACATGAAACTAACCCTGCAAGGCCTGAACCCGGTTGCATGGTGGGTGGATCTCGTGCATGGTCGAAAATATCGTGCCTGTGAACTGTCTTTTGTCTCCAGCACTGGACTTTGATGCTGCAGTTTCCGCAAATTTACTGTACTTGGCCTACATTGTGCCTACTTTTCTCAGCAGCCTCTTCCGCAGATTTCTGGGTTTTTTCCCTGCGATTTTCAATGGGGACAGACTTGATCTCTGGCATTTCAAACCCCTCCAAATTATTCGTAACTCGGCCAAAATATCCTCTCAATAAGGATCCATTTCTTGGAGAAGTAAACCTCAAAAACACAATGGGACAAGTATTCCGCACTGCATTGTCAAACAATTCTGTAAAGATCAACCTTCAGCCCATCTAAGACTATGGTCAAAAGTAGGATGACGATCATCTTTTTTCCTATATGAACTGTAGTGTTCTTAGGAACGACGTGAGTGATGGTCTCCCTTCCCTCAGATGTGCACTTTCCAGATCGCTCCACGATGGAGAGCAAGAAAGATGGACATAAAGGTGTACACACGCCCAAGGCTGGAAATCATGGTTAGACATGAACATTATAAAAGCTATTTTGGGGAAATCCTTGAGAATGCATATGCGGACTAGGTGCTAGCTCCCATCCCTTCAGTGCTGGATGGCGGAGCTAGTTTGTTGCAACTCTGAGCCCCCCCCCCCCCCAAACACACACACTTGGTGCCTGATGACTGCTGCACTGGCATGAAACTCAGAGTCGTAACAAACTAGCCTGGCTCCATTGTTGTATTGTGTTCTCTAGGGAGTAAAACAGCAGAATTGTGAGATGAGGAGCCTAATGGCGCCAACACAGATCTGTAGTCCTTGCCAAAAATGCGAAAAGCTACGCGCCTGTGTTATTGAGTTCAATACACACCTGTATACTTGCACATACGCACATCCATGCATGCATAAACACTAGGGGTGAAACGATTAGTTCGAATATTCGAGTATTCGTTCGAAAATTTCAAACGAGCGAGTATTCGAAATTTTGCACTCGATCGTTTTTTTGTTTTTTGATTTTTGTTTTTTGTTTTTTAGTATTGGCATTGTATTTTTCCAAAACATTTGTTGTACCGCTGGTCCACTGGTATGCATGCGTTATGCATGGCTTTGAGTCAGTATTTTACGACTTGGACGATGCGATCACCACGGCAAGTAACGTTCTGAGATATGAAAGTACTGATGAAAATCGTTACTTTACACTCTGTACAAGACGTTGGCGACTTTTGTTCTATGTTCACGGATAATTTCTTCCGAATTGGTCGAGAACTCGCAAATCTAGTGCTTTTGAATTTTGATAAAATACTCAAAATAATCAGATACTCGATCGAATATTATGAACGAGTGATCGATTGGTCAAAATAGATACTCGTTTCACCCCTAATAAACACACCTGTATACTTGCACACACGCACATCCATGCATGCATATATGCACGTGCACACGCACGCACGCGACTATCATGTGACCTGTACAGGCAACGACACCAGTGCCATGCAAAATCTTCATCGCGTATTCACCTACCTATTGGCAAGGAGTATTTTTCGTTGCACAAAACCTTGTCGAACCAGGAAAAATGCCACCACCAGGCAAATGGCCCAATAGCCACACAGCATCGCCTGCAAAAAGGTAAACAAGTCACACAACAATGGGAAATGTCAGGGACAACTTTAAATATACAAAGAGGCGTTTCAGAGAAAGGAGTTTTAACAATGCGCATGCGCTGGAGGAGACAACTACGGGTGACTGGCCTGAAACGTAATAATTTTTTTCGACATCACTAATACAAGAATTTTTCATCCAGCGCATGCGCCAAAGAGTGAATAGCAACTAAATAGAGCGGTTGTCAGTTGACAAACCCCCTTTTGACCTTTTCCCATATACTAATAAGAAGAAAAGAGGACCAAAGAGCTACAAGTTACACTTGAATATCCACTAACACCACCAGTTACTTTACAATCAGCATGCGATAACATTGCACGACACTGACCAACGGACAGGTACTGACGTTCTACACCTAACTGCATACATGTACATCCGCCAACGTCCTTCGCAGCTGAGACTTTCAGCTTGTGCTTGTCTTGGTTGCGCTCACCTTTCCCTCCTTATGTTATTTCTATAACTTAACGTTAGTACCTTCCAAGTTGGAAGGCTGTTAGAGTGCGCACCCGAGACGAGCTAGAGCTGATTGCCAGTTAGGTGTAGAACGTCAGTACCGGTGGTCAGTGTCGTGCAATGTTATCGCATGAGCTGATTGTAAAGTAACTGGTGGTGTTAGTGGATATTCTAGCGCAACTTGTAGCTCTTTGGTCCTCTTTTCTTCTAATAAATGAATCCTTGGCTCTCCACCCGAGTCTTAACCACAATAATTATACTAATACAAGTAGGTACTAATAGGTACTAATTATAGGTTAGTGCATGGCAGGGAGGGCCTTATGGCTTGTTAGTGCCCGACAGGTTAGCCTGAGGGCCGTAGGCCCGAGGGCTACCCTGAAGGGCACAAACAAGCCATAAGACCCTCCCTGCCATGCACGAACTATTTTAGAACGAGGTTACATGCATTATCTCACTTCCATTATGCGTGTGTACCACTATATTGGGTAGTTTTGTGGTTTGTGTGCAGAGAGACTTGGTGTGGTATGAAAGAATATTTTCTTCTGGAAAGTTATGGTAACTCAGCACCACTTAGGACTACTAAAAGTAGAATGGAAGCAAATGAAATGCTGGGCTCTTATTGCGAGCTTCATTCTTATTCATACATGTAGCTTGTGGAGCTATTTAGGGGCTTTGAGAGCCCCTTGTCGATAACTCTAATGACTTTGATCTTCGGTTTTTATAGGTTTCCGCAAGCTGTTGACAAAGAAAATTCGTACAGGTGAAAGAATACGGGAGGCAAAAACCATACACACTTCTGAATTGCGTAGCTTTTAGTAGTACACCGTACACGTTATGCAGAGTTCATTATCTGCACCGTACTATTATGCATACAGGGAGTTGTACGCACCAGTTTAGAGTATATTCAGCGGGCTTTAAACTAATCCAAGGCCCTCGACGCGTCATCAAGAGTAGTAAATAAACGATTGAGCGGGCTTTAAACTCTGATAAGGCCCTTGGCGGGAATGTCGCTGATTGGTCGTTTCCTGGACAACGAGACAGACCTCGTTCTAATAGGTACTAATAGGTACTAATAGGTGCACGTAACACCAGTACCCTATTTCCCCGATTCTAAATCGCACTCGGTTATCAGTCGCACACCCTCTTCCTCCTCCCCCCTTTTTTTTAAGCCATAATTATTGTTTCAATAGAGTCACGTAGGTAGGATATCACACTCGATTGTAAGTCACACCACCTTCTCTGCCCTTGAAGTTACCGTATTTTCCGGAGTATGAGCCGCACTGGAGTATAAGCCGCACCCCACAAACGTGGCTTAAGAGTAGAGCCCACACGCTCTCTTCCATTAACACTGCAATAATTCAACTCATTTCACAATAATTATTACAACGTTTCGGCAAATTGCCTTCATCAGGTTCACAATGATGTGCAAGCTCTCAAACCAGCATTAATAAAGGCCACCTCCCTGTCAGTAAGAGTTGGGTGTGAAAAGCAGCGTGATAAGAATTCAGCTCATAGCGCTAATATAGTGGCAGATGAATGTGATACTGTGTGGATGAATGTGATGGTGCGTGAGTATTACTTGAAGAGTGTGAGTGATACGTTTTCTTTCTTTTACCTTTCTCACATACTGTAAAAGCCATATATATACATAACGAAATGCTAACTCTGAGTAAAAAATAGAAATCGTTATACAGAAATCGATACATGTACTGTCCTATTGAGCGTTGAGAATAAGTGAGGACCGTTACCTTTGGTACACGTAAACCAGTCGATTTTGGGAAATCGTTATATATGCGCCTCGTTAGAATAATGGCTTTTACAGTACACTATATTCACACATTGGAAAGGTGCAAATTTCGCTTTTTGTACTTGCTGGCTGCTGTATTTCTACCTGAAACCATATTACCTACATGTATATAAGTGTGTGTTTTAGTTATTACATTTTTATGTGACGGCGTTCCACTGATGAAAGTCACAAGAAAACGTTATGGAACTAAACTTTATTCATTTTTTGCTGTTGTTATGAGTGCACAATTGATCTTATGTATTGCCAGTTTAAGTGTAAAAAGGCGTGAATTATATTTGGGGAAATGCGGTATACGGTCACGGCTTTATTTACGGTGTTGGAAGTGGTGGCTGATAGCACTCCCGCGGCCACTGCAGCAGCTACTAAGGGCTGGGCGCAAGTTCTTCGTCGATTCAATGCAGCTCAGGAGTCTCCCCACGACGAAAAATCATGTTCAAAAGAGGATTTGAAGGGAAAGATGCAAAGAGAGGATTCGTGAACTGTATTACCTAAGCTGTACGTCAAGGCAAAGCGCATAGATAAAGCACTACCAACGCAGTAGTACGTTGTGTCTCAGAGCTGCAAATGCTCGACATTTTGGTGACATCAGGAGCTCGAACATCATCAAAGATGCAGCATTTCAAGCTTCTAACAAAGCAATGGACGCCGTGTTGAAAAAGAACAAGAGAGAAGGAAAGCTGCGCCCCGTCCAGCACAAGGAATTTATTCGTGATGCCGACTTTGCCAAGATAATGGACCTGTTCATGCGACCCAAGGAGCCAGATGTTCTGAATCAGTAAGTGTGGTTCTCCATCTCTCTTCATTTCTCTCTGCGCAGGCGAGAGCTGCAGCGGAGTATCAAGAAATTTGATTCGGTGTTTCGTCAAGATGAGAACAAGAAAGAGCGAGAGAAAAGGCCGTCGTCCTTGCAACAAAGAATCACGCTGGCGGCTTTGTTGACAAGTACGATGCTCCAACCTCTGGCCGAATCCAAGATGGCGACCAAGTTTTTTCAATCAAATTTCTGCTGGAGCATTTAAATCCAGACTGTGATGCACTCTTTCAACGGCCCAAGTCAAACCTGAAGAGGGGCGAGAAAGTATGGATCGCGAACTGTCCCCCTTGGGAAGAACACACTCGGTACAATGATGCAAGCTGTATGCAAGTAGTGTGAACTGTCTCGTATATACACGAATCATTCTGTTCGTGCCACTGCTGGTCAACGGCTCTCAGCTATGGGAGTTTCAGAGCGCCACATCTTGTCTGTGACGGGACGTCGGAATCCGATGAGCCTGAGGAATTACTCGTGGACAACGGACCATCAGCAGGATAGCATGGGCGCCGTTCTGGATGGGGACAAGTCTTCTGCTACTGAATCAATCAAGTGCAGTGCCTGCTGTGGTGGCGAGTACTGGTGCTGCTTCTTCTGCAATAACAACGGACGCATGTTCCCTGCCTACTGGCCAGCCACATTGGCGCCCGGTCAGCGGCAGTAACACCTTCTCTGACAACCAAGAACTTCGTTTTCACTATGCTTGTAGTGACTTCATATGTACATGCGTTTTGTGTATATAAATCATTTTTCGTAAAAATGGCCCTGTATTATATTTTCGCATGGAAAGAAATAAACTTTCTCTTTGGCCCCAACTTACTTCGTTGTGGTCTGGTGGACCATTGTAGCCGTCATGGTTGACGTAAAAACACCATAATTGGTGACCCCTGACACTGCGCTGAGTCGGAGTTATTAGTGCTTTATGGATGGCATGGAGCAGGCCCATCGTGCCTTCGACCTCCGTGGCCCAGATTGAGCAGGCGCCCAAGCCCACGACCTCACCGGCCCACCATCCGCCAATCCGCCGATCAACAACCACGATCTCCCAGCCCGCAGCCGCCTCTGACAAGATCAAGATCCGTCCTCCGCTGTCACGCGTACGTTTCCCTTGTTCCTTTCTCTACTTTCTTTCTCTAGACTGCCTCTGGCATGTTCTTCCACCTCTGTCACGCGTGTTTCCTCTTTCCCTTTCCTGCATTTGTCTACCTTGTTTTGGATCTTGTGTCCACGTGTCATACACAACGGTATTCCACATGCAGCGCATATTTTTTCTCTTTGTACAGTGTATTTTTCTTTCCCGTCTTTCCGCTTTGTACGCTTCGCTCACTCTTTCTTTTCCTTTCCAAGATCATTTCCGTTTGGCGTTCTTCAACTGCTCTCGGCTTCATCTCTGGTGGGGGTGTAATGTAGTGACTTCGTACATATGTACATGCGTTTTGTGTATATAAATCATTTTTCGTAAAAATGGCCCCTGTATTATATTTTCGCATGGAAAGAAATAAACTTTCTCTTTGGCCCCAACTTGCTTCGTTGTGTCTGGTTGGCCATTGTAGCCGTCATGGTTGACGTAAAACACCATACGCTCACTGAGAGGCCAAATTCAGCTTCTGCCCAGTGGAACAGCTCCAGGGCTCACACCAGCACGCGACGTAGCAAACAGAGAAGAGTCGTCCGAAAACTGCGCCTCCAGAGCAGTGGTGGATGAATCCGTTCGGCATGAGTCATTGACTTTTGATAGAGAGGCCTTCGCCGTAGTGATAGTGAACTCAAAGCCAGCACCAGGTATGCCCCTGACACTCTACTGGCATTTGGATTTGGTGGCGACTGCTTGCACTATATTGAACAAGATTTGGGGGGGGGGGGGGGGATATGGTGCAGCCTTGCAGTAGGCCATTGGTGACGCTGAATGGGTCAACTTCCGTGCCGCTTACACACAATAGGGAGGTTTCGCTCTACATAATTACGTATGAAAATCCGAATGTCGTACGCGCCGGGGAGCGAGGGCAACTTTCATACGTAAATCTCTCTACGGATTTCTGTAGGAAAGCTGTTTCCTACGTTGGGTCCTCCGTAGGACTTTTCGAAATATTTTTTCGCATTTTCCACGTTTGTCCATGGCAACGTTCAAGCCGCGCGAAACACAAGGTACACACACCGTACACCACGCGCAAAATATAATGGAAAACGCGGTTTCGGTTCATGGTGCATGCGGTGGGCGCATGCAGCCAACGTGTCTCCAAAGAAACGACGCATGTTTAGCAGTCGTGGAGAAATCAAGTAGAGCGAAACCCAACTGCTCTGATTTTTACGTATGAAAATGCCGTGCAGTTCCTACGTTATTTTCATACGTAATTCCGTAGAGCGAAACCTCCCTAATACCACAGACGTCTCGTGGTGAAACGACTGGATAACTGCAAGCATTGGAGGTGGGACGTCAGCACGGGACAGCACTTGCCACAGACACTCACGGGGTACGGAGCCGCAGGCTTCCTTCTTTCTTTTTCAAAGGGGAAGTTCACCCTAAAATGAAAACTTCACAACCTGTAGCAAAAATTGCACTGATTCAAATGGTGAAGGTCCCAGGTTGATCGGAGCAGCCGTTCCCGAGTTATACCAGCTTGAAGTTTGCACTAAATTTGGTGACATCATGATGACGTCATTAACTTGCTCAGGCTAGGCCGGATTTATGACGTCAGAGAGATAGACTTTGCATGGGAGTATATGTGGAAATTTCAGTATTTTGGCTCTCCAGTATCCCAAAGAAGTCGGATGTATTTCAAACTTCGGTATGGGACATATGGCACCCTACCGGTAGCCCGACTGGAAAAAATTCTAGTATTAAATTCATTGTCGCAGAGAAACAAGAAAGAAATGTTTTCCCCATCTACTTCCGTACATGTATACAAAGTCTATTTATCTCTCTGACGTCATAAATCCGGCCTAGTCTGGGCAAGTCATCATGATGTCACCAAATTTAGTGCAAACTTCAAGCTGGTACAACTCGGGAACGGCTGCTCCGATCAACCTGGGACCTTCACCATTGGAATCAGTGCATTTTCGCTACAAGTCGCGAAGTTTCCATTTTAGGGTGAACTTCCCCTTTAGTCGATAAAGGCGAAGAAGCCCTTGGCTGTGTACTCAATTGCTTTTTCAAGCAGCTGTCGCACACTGAATACCATGTCTGTGCAGGATCTGCCTCGCCGAAAACTGCATTGGGACTCTGGGAGAAAATCACTAGCCAGAATTTGAAGCCGAGACTGGATGAGACTAGCCAGGGCTTTGCAAAGACATCTAGGAGTGCGATGCCCCCCCCCCCCCCCCCCACACACACACAACATAAGTAACCCCAAATATGCAACTTACTCGAGTCAGGCTGAATAAAAAACGGAACGTCCACAGTACAATGTTCACGTTCATCACCAATTGCATCCACGGAGCCAGGAAGAACACAATCGATGCTGCTAACCAGCACATTAGAACTATTGACCAGCGTTTATGTGATGACATGAGCAGCCTGTTTCACAATAAAGGCATGTATAGTACACAGTCATGAGTACAAACACGCATGCACGCATGCCCCCCCCCCCCCCCCTTCCACACACGCACGCACGCACGCACGCACGCACCATACAACAGCAAACAATGTTTGTGCTGGGATTGCACCAATTCTACAGAGTTCCTTTATCACTTTCTTCCATATTCAATATTCCTTTTATCATCTAAGATAATTCAACCTACATCCACACTGGGGATCATCCAATAAAAGTTTAATCTTCCAAAAATATGTGCACGGATATGAGTACCAGAGTCACACGGATATGAGGCCACCAGAGTCACACGGATATGAGGCTCAGTTGGCAAAACAGGGCTAGGCCATCAGAGTCACACAGAGAGTCATACAGCTAGTATTCACGACTCACTCACTGGAGATGACGAAGGCACCATGGTGATGATAGAGCTGATGTCCAAGGCCAAACAATGACCACTCCCACCATCAACGAATACGTGACCATTACCTTAGTGTGGAACAGGATGAGAAGTTGGACAGACAAATAGACAGTCAGTCAGACAGACAGACAGTCAGTCAGTCAGTCAGCCAGTCAGACACACAGACAGACGGACCAACATACAGAGGGTAGTCGGTGACCACAACGATGACGAACCACCACTTGATCCTAAAAAAAACTAGTATACAAAAAGGAAGTGACTGCCCCCACCCCGACCATTTCACAAGACTCTAGAATAGGGGTGAAACGATTAGTTCGAATATTCGAGTATTCGTTCGAAATTTTGCACTCGACCATTTTTTAATATTTTTTTAGTATTGGCATTCTACAGTTGCGCTCACTGAAATCCGACCCAAAGTACAAAGCTGGCGCCCTGGATCAGTTCCGATTACATCATTGTATGCGTACATGTGTACGTCCAGCTGCATTCATTCCACTTCCAGGGCGTCAAGGGCCGTGGAAGCTGAGGGCGCCAGCTTTGCACGTTGGATCGGATTTCAGTGAGCGCAACTGTAGTTTTCAAAAACTTCTGTTGTACCGCTCATCGACTGGTATGCATGCGCTTTGAGTCAGTATTTTATGACTTGGACGATGCGATCACGACGGCAAGTAACGTTAGTTTGTTATGAGATAATGAAAGTACTGGTGAAAATCGTTACTTTATTGCATGTCACGTGAGGGTTGTCCGTACTACGGCCAATCAGCGCCCTCCGCAAGCGGTCTGTATTTCTTGATATTGCCCGCACAGCTGCGGGCAGGAATTCTGCGTATTGACCGGTTTATTGCCCGCTGAATCTGCTCGCTCACGCATGCGCATTCACAGTATGCCAAATCCACTTACCTTGTGTAGGTTACAGTTTTGATACGTGGTGATACTGATGTAAATCCGGAAAAGGATAACTTACAAGACAAACCAGCTCCAAATTTGTTGGAAGATGCCCATACTGGTAGTAGCTCAAATGGTGAAGTCAGTGAAGAGAACGCGAGCGTTGAGGCCTGTCAGTTCGAGATCACTGATGAAGACATTGAAAAAATGATCTCCGATACCAAAAACCGGAACACATCCGCCACCACCAAGAAATGGCTCGTCGTCCCGGGCGAGTATTGCCGAACTCGAAAGATCTCCTGTGATCTGGCAACGGTATCAGCATTGGACCTTGTAGGCGTTTTGAAGCACGCATACGTCGGGATTCGAACAAAAAATGGGAAAAAATTGTATAGCAAGGCGAGCCTGATTTCATTTCGTGCCGCAATTCTACATCAGCTAACAGAACATCAACGCACAATCAACATCATCACGGACAAAGAGTTCCAGCAAGCAAATATTGCTCTAAATGCCTTTATCAAGAAGATGGCAACCTCAAGGAAGTCAACCACAAAGATGCCATTTGTCACGAGGATCAGGCAAAACTAAATTCCTATTTCCTCGCAAACTACGAGACCGACCCTATCGCACTGGCGGAGACGGTGTGGTTTGCAATCACCAAACAGTTTCGTTTACGTGGTCGAGAGTGTCAGTCTGACATGTGTGCGGAGGATTTTGAAGTTTGCCACGACACAGAATTTGGTGAGTACATCAAAATGACAACTTCCATAAAGTCTAAGAACCATCAAGGTTCGATCGGCACATCTGACAGTGTGTCTGATGGGCGCATTGTAAATCCTGCTCACGTCAAGGCATTTAAACTGCTGGTGAGCAAGCTGCCAACCTCGTCATCTGGCAGGACAAGGCTGTTTCAACAAGTCAAGAAAAAAGCTACAACTGAAGCACAGATCTGGTACAATGGCAAGCCTGTTGGCAAGAATACGCTGGGTGGTCTCATGAGAATATTGTCTGTTAAGTGTTCATTGTCTCAACGAAACACCAATCACTCAGTGAGAGCATCCACGATCACTGAAATGTGCCGTCAGAGTGTGTCCCCTTCAACGATAATGGGTGTATCGGGACACAAGTGCCAACAGTCACTAACCCATTACAACAGGCCGTCTGGATGTGACAAGCTCAAGGCAGCATCATTGCTCGACGGCCCAAGCAGTGCAAGCACGACCGACTTACATCCCGAGCTTGCCGGAATCGACCTGGACCTGTTGTTCCAGCCGCCGATGTATTCCGAACCTGTCGCGGCCCAAGCCGTCCAACCTGATGAGTGCCTGGACATCGATGCCCTGATCAGCAGCTGCTCCGCCGAAGAGCTCAACAAACTGGAGACCCAGCAAGGCGCTAGTGTTTTCCAGGTGTGTTCCTATTCTTCGTGTACAATCACGAATCACATCACTATCAATGTTGTAAAGAAATAAACTAATTTTCAAAACCACAAACACGTGTACGTGTACCTCCGCATGCACAGTCAACTGAACTTGAACATGCCTTGTGGGATACATGACCTCACGGCTGACGCCGTTCGGTCATGTATCAGCTGGTATTGCCGTTGTACTCGCTTGTACTCGGGCTGTAAATCATACTTACACTCTGTACAAGACGTTTGCGACTTTTGTTCTATGTTCACAGATAATTTCTTCCGAATTGGTCGAGAACTCACAAATCTAGCGCTTTTGAATTTTGATAAAATACTCGAAATAATCGGATACTCGATCGAATATTATGAATGAGTGATCGATTGGTCAAAATAGATACTCGTTTCACCCCTACTCTAGAACCAAGAAGAGAACATACCCCACAAGAGCGTCAAGAGCTGCTAATCTCCCATATCAGTGTTATCCAGACAGAGTTTCAAGTGGACCTCCTTTTTATGATGCAATGCGTGATGTACGCGTGTTTTCAGACATTTCCGTGGTTGACATTCCGCCATTTGATCATGTACCTACAAAGTCGTGCGAGCAGACATGTGACATGTTGACACCTTGGTACAAGTGGCGGAAATCACATGTACAACATATCGCACAAATTGATGTCTACATGAAGTTCTGTCGGGACACCACTGCAGGCAAGAGTTGAAAAGTCTTGCCACAACCCAAACTGGTCTTCTTCTTCTTCCTCCTGAAGAAGACCAACACTGGCCGACACGTTAAGCTGTGTTCACAACTGGCGCGTGTACGCGTGAAACCACGCGTTTGTGCGTATTTTTGCTGGCTTTTGGGGCGTACGGAAACGCGCCGAAATGGAACTTCCAACATGTTGGAATTTTCAGCGCGTATCAGGCGCGTACCAGCGTACAGGCCAGTCACCTTGACTGGCGGGGTCAAAAAATTAGTACTCGAAGGTGTCGCACGCGCTAAATACGACTCGGATTGCTGTTTCTTGTGAAAGCCTGAGCGCGCGTTTGGGCACGCATGAACAGCAAGCGTACCGCGTACACGCGCCAGTTGTGAACACAGCTTTAGTATCCAGCTCAGTCCCCTCGTTAAACGGTTCGGCTGCTCTCCTCTTGTACACAGACAGACAGGCAGATTTACACGATGGGACTGACGCCACCAGAAAGAGAGGTGTGTGATCCCAAGAGTGTAGTGTATTGATTGTCGCAACATTGTCTCTTTCCATACTGTCTATCATCTGATTGTCGCAGCATTGTCACTCTCCATACTGCCTATCATCTGTATTATAATTATTAATTTATTTATGCGCATGCTCAATGTAAATGAATCAGTCCTTGTCTTGTCCTCCAATGTACCCCTGCGTGGCTTGTAGGCCGAACACAACAGAGAGCATGCCAGCGGAGTGGGAAACCGAAAATCAATTGACACAATGAGCATGCGATCGAGCAGGGCAAGAAGGCACATCCCACCCAGAACATTTTTTAAACATCTTTACAGTTTTTACTACTTTTTCCTCGGTCGTGACCAGTTGTGTGTCCATACCCGATAATTCTCCTAGACTCCATCGAAAATAGTATACAACATGCGTCAGCATCTCTCGGCATGCCATTCCCCAGCCACCTCACGGCAACAGGCTAATTCTGGTATAGCTCGCTGCATAAGCTCCGCCAAACTTTACTTCATAGTTCACACACGGGATGATTTTTGCCATCATGTAAATTCGCTCTCAGCCAGTTAAGCTTATGTCATAGAAGCAGGCTTTCGCTAAATTGAAAGTAAAGCTAATGCCCAACAAGGAAGAATTTGAGCTCACCTCTGCTGCCAAACTACTCAAATTCCTATCATAAACGAACATCTTTGGAACATCCATCAGATGCAGCTGAAAACAAAGAGGACAATACACAAAGTTAGAGAAGAGTGAGGGTGCAAGGGAGGTTAAAAAAAATTCCCATACACCTGCACAGCTAGGTATCCTCAAGGCAAACATGGAACTTGTGGGACCGGTTGTTCTACTGCACAAATGCATTAGTCCGGACCTGGGCAGGGGTGGTATAAAAAATGAAGGCATGTTCGGAAGTCTTAGCAGTGCCCGCCTGCGATGCTCTTTCTGCTCTAAGGAAATTGTCACTCCAAATGGATGACATATGCTGAATTCCAAACCCCCGAGCACAAAGACACTGGAGAAGTTGCTTGTACATTGCAAGAATAATAATCCTTATTTTGAAAAGCAATCTTTCCAATAAGGAGAGGTACATATTTCACTGACATAGCTACTATATATGGGAAAGGGCCCGAAAGTGAAAGTCAAACACATCGGAAAGATAGCAAAAGTTGGCAATGCAGAAAGACAAGGTACAGAGCGGGGGTATGGCAGAGCACAGCAATGCACATGATTGTGCTGTACAGCCGCCATGCCAGCACTCAGAAATTGAGGATGCAAACGTAGTTTTATATCCATCTCTGTCCCCAAGGGCACTAACAACAGCACCCGGAATAATCCAAAGGCAAATGCAGTGCCTAATGGAACAGACATGCACGCACTATACGCACATGTAATTCATTTCGAAGGCAACCTCTGATGTGTAACTAGATGATTTCCCAGACTTGATGACAGCTGCTGCACCTATCCGTATCCATTCTTTGAATCATTGTGCATGCATAATGGCAAAATGGTACCGAACAGCAACATGTTCATACCAACCTGCCTCAAGGTCTGGAGTGAGACATCAAAAAACAGAAGAAAGATGCCCTGTCCAACCATGGCCACTTCTCCAGCGCTGAAGCTGTTCGGCAAGGCCCATAGTAAGAGCAGCACAATTGCAGAGTAACCCCAGAGTGGCACTAGTAACCACAAATAGCCAGGGAGCACTGTACAATTGAAACAAGTACGCATGCACACAAGCACACCCGTGCCCACATGCACACGTTTACACACACACACACACACACACACACACACACACGTTTACACGTTCACACACACACATACACACATACACACACACACACACACATGCACACACGCATGCGCACACACACATACATGCACACACACGCACACACACACACACACAAACGCACACGCACACACAGAAAATTATCTCTGCAATGCCACATCAAAGCTCTTTGGTGATTGTCGCATTGGAAAGATGAGCTCTTCGGCTTTTTCCAAGATATTTACAAGGAAAGCAGAGGCCTCGACACAAGCGCCAAAAGGCCATTTTCGTTTCATCGAGACGACCGTAAAAGCCCGTAAAATAACTGCCTGAAATAAATACCCCCTTCATTCTTTTGACTCTGTGTGTTGAAGTCAAGTCAAGCCCGAAAAACATACTGCCCGAAATAAGTACCGGTACGATGCGCACATGCAGCACGTAGCATGTACATCTACATGAAAATGACTTCTCCACTACACACAAGTCAGGTCCGAAAGTTAGTTCGTGCCCGAAAATCAGTACCCGCCCGAAAGTTAGTACGGGTGTGACCACTAAATTTGAAAGTAAGTACGTACTTATTTACGGACTTTGACGGTAATCGGTTTCACTGACAAAAGCTATGGTTGTACCATGAAGTACCGTTGATCCCCCACCCCCATGTCGCTTCCCTGGTTTTTCAACAGGGGGCGGGAATTAGATCAAGGCTCTATCTAAAGTGCAATACTATGTGCAACTACAAAAAAAGATCAGGCTTGCCTTGCTGGATTGTGCACATTTTCATCCACAGGTATACCTGCACTGGCACATGCGTCAGTTCAACACTGTATGTTGACGTATACGCTAAGGTCGCTTCACAGGTAGAAATTCGACAGGGGACGGGAATTAGAGAGAGGGGGGGGGGGGGGGTCTACAGTACGGAGAGCCTGCTTTCAGCCAATCAGCGCTCGTCTAGCCACGGTTATCTGAGCCAGTATACAGTGCGTATCGGTTATAGTGTGGTCGTGTAAAAGAATATACTGCCTACAAGAATGAACTCTCAACTCTCATGTTTTCATAATCATAACATGGGTTTCAAGTAGGGGTCAAACGGGTGTACCGGGTACCCGCCCGTTAATCTCAGGTACCATTAGTAAAAGGGTACCCGTTTGTAAAAAAAAGTTGAAAAGTTGGAATTCGATGATCCTATCGTATGCCAAGACTCAAAAAAAGGAGTGCGGATACTCTTTTCCTTTTTCCTGTGCATTCCCGCTTTCGACTTTGCCAGGCAGGAGCAGGCTGAAAGACAGTCGTTCTCTCCACTCTAGTGCAAGTAAAGATCCTCGTACTGAAGGTTTTTTATTGTGATGTGAGAAAATGCAAGACTTAAAACTCGTTCGAGGTGGCAGCTGAGTTACTAGAAAGTTACGATGGTTCTCCGACATCGAACCTGCCACAGTACTTGAAGATGAACTTGTGTCACCAGGCTGAGTGACCAGTTGGAGTGTCACACACGGGGATGTCCGTAGGTGGTAGCTATGATACTGATTGTAGTTTGTTCCTGCAATCGATGAGCTCGGTTTAGTTGAAAAGTAGTTCGAAATATTGCATACAAGATTACGGATTTGTGAAGATTCGTTTCACAAGTTCAACGAGCTAGCACTAGCAGCTAGCTGGCCAGCAGCACATCAGCTGTGTCAGGCACCCCAGCTAGCTATGGGCGCGAACATCTTCTGAATGCGAAGAGTACCAGTTCTCTGCGAACATAGCAAATAGAATTGCGCGAGATCACGGAAGTTTTGCTTAAAGGGGACGTATACCCTGAAATCAAATTTTCACCAGTTGTAGTCTTCGGGGTGCTGAGTCGAATGGTCTTGGTCCGAGGAAGCTGAGACGCTCCCTTCCTCCTTTATTCCCAATCGAACTCGCGCACTTCCACCGAAACTGGGTGACTGCGCCCTACTAGATGGGGATTTGTATGCAAAATGTCACTAAAAGCGCCATTTCGTTCTTATAAAAGCACGGATGACCGCCATTGGCCCATATGTTGTAGTCTTTTGGACGCTGAGTCGACTGGTTTTGGTCCGAAAAGGCTGCGATGCAACGTTCCTCCTTTATTCCCAATCGAACATGGTTGAACAAGCGGTCACGTGCTCCTGCGTACACCAGTCACCTGGTCACCGTGCCTGCAGGGTACAACTTACTAGCCTGTTTGACCTTTTTTGGGTGCAGTCCTGTCACACGAGTTGAACCTTGGTGTGAAAGTTGTCGCCTGCTGGCGCGGTGACCAGGTGATTTGGGCACCCAGGAGCACGTGACCACTTGTTCAACCATGTTCGATTGGGAATAAAGGAGGAACGCTGCATCGCAGCCTTTTCGGACCAAAGCCAGTCGACTCAGCGTCCAAAAGACTACAACATATGGGCCAATCACGGTCATCCGTGCTTTTATAAGAACGACATAGCACTTTTAGCGAGATTTTGCATACAAATCCCCATCTAGTAGGGCGCAGTCACCCAGTTTCGGTGGAAGTGCGCGGGTTCGATTGGGAAAAAAGAAGGAAGGGAGCGTCGCAGCTTCCTCGGACCAAGACCATTCGACTCAGCACCCAGAAGACTACAACTGGTGAAAATTTGATTTTAGGGTATACTTCCCCTTTAACTACTCGGTCCTGGCATGGCTTGAATCACATCGATCTGCAGTTGATTTGCGTACATGTATCAAAATACATGTAGCACTAGGACCATGTACGATTGTAACTGCCTGTGAAGTTATGTACATGGGCAAATGTACGGATGACATTCACTTGGCCGGTTGGAACCTTCATTGCCATAATATTATTATGAGACACGAATCAATTGCGAATCATAATGTGGTATCAAAATACAACCTGAGAATATATACAAAAAAATTATGTGAGAAATGCGCAAAAAAATAATATGGCTGCTAAAGGGTACCCGCTAACCCGCCCGTTAAGAAAATTACCCGGTTCGTTAGTTAAAGGTACACCCGTTTGACCCCTAGAACTTTCAAGTGCACATTTATTCTTACAAGCAATGTTATCGCATAGTAGAATATATCGGTCCTAAGAATGGACTTTGTGTAGCAAAACATGCCAGATTAGTACAAAGTGCATGCCAGATTAGTACGCCTGTCGCCTGTAGTAATAACATCTGTCCAATGCAGTTCTGATCCGACTCGCATTGCAACGCCACATTGTAAGCTTATGTGACTACGAACACCCGCATGTACAGCAGCGATACGTTGCATGCATAATGATGGCCTTCCTACTTCTGCCCACATGCACGTGCTATGTCACACTTGATTTATCGCGTGTAAGAAATATCGGCGACAATAATAGAACGTCGTTTTTCAAACACCCACGCTATAACCGATACCTACTGTGTACATGTATCCCTTGCTGGGTTTATATTCATTTAATTCCCTGTGCATTGGTTCCCAGTTCCCATACCGAATTTGCATGTGGTATCTACTGCATACAAACCCTGCAGCGGATTTTTGTCCATAAAAATTCAGGCCTACCGTTATAAAACGGTCGGCGCGAATTTATTTAAAAACCGACTTTGACGAGTGGGACTATTTTTGTTCAGTGCAATGTTTCTGAACGTGCTGAACTTACCCTGTTTTCTGGTGAGAAAAGATGTGCAGTCGTCAAAAAAGAGCGCTCCGTGAAAGTTGCCTACGCTTTGGAGGAAGAACTTTGCGGACTTCTTATTTCAATTTGATCCATTTTGACTAATTAGCTTGACCTATTCGGATTATCTGGACAAATTTGGCTTTAAAAAAGAAAGCAATGACTGCATACCATATTCAGTTCGCGCTTGCACCTAAATATACATGCAATAGTGTGTACTTGTATATGCACATTCGTACTTGTGTTTAGTATAAAACTGACCTCATTTTCTAAATGTGTTGTGCTTTTCTGCTCAGCGTACCAAACAATACCAAGAACATGAACAAATACTGGCTGTCGGTTTTGAATAACTGGTGCCAAACCAGCAAGAGACGACGCGATCTGACGTGTGACAGCGCAGAAGCCATTCCAAGTGCCTCGGAGCATGCATATGTTGAGTTGTGAACACAAGATGGCCATGCGTATTAACAGAGTAGTTCACAAGGATTTCGCAGTGCAATTCACTGGCAATTGCAAGTGTACTACAGACCAATAAATGTATTCAAGGACCCTGCTTTTAACATGGGCAACACCACTCTAGATGCCGTCATCAAACGTCAGAAACTTGACGGCAGCCAAGCCGGTCCACGATAAGAATGCAATCATCGATCAAGACATGACCACCCTGAATGAGTACTTCACGGATGCCACATCAGACACTACCAAACTGCGAGATGTATGGTTCTGGATGACCATGCACTTCTGTCTAAGAGGTTGCGAGCTGCAAGCGTCGATCACGAAAGACAACAATTGAACATTGTTTCAATTGCATGCCAGACGGCACAGAATATATCCCGCTACACAAATCCCATGTTTCCAAGAATAATCAAAGCGGTGCCAACTCTGCCAACCAAGATTCTGATGGACGAATTGTCAATCTACAAGCGTCTGCAGTTCGATTGCCATTATCCAAGTTACCACCTACATGCTCCCGCCTATTCCAGATACCGCTCAAGACACCGAAGCAAGACTGCTGGTATACGGGCAAGCCGCTTGGTACGAACTCGATAGCTAGCTTATCCAGCAAAGCCCGCCTCACCAAGCTCTACACAACCCACTGCGTGCATGCAACTTGTACCACCACCCTCACCAGCAAGTCTGTGCCTGACCATGTGATTACTCGGAATTCCAAACAAAAGAACCTCGGCAGCCTCCAGTACCACCAGCCCACCGAAACCGTGAAACTCGTTGAGCCACTGCCACATCCAGCACCACCTGCACCGACCCCTACTTATGACACTGATGAACTAGATGCAATATTG